TATTCTGATAAATCAACCAAATTTGTTATCAGTCACTATTTCCTCTAACTTGATGATCCTCCTTCAAATAGCAGGGTCTTGATGCCCTTAGGGATAGCATGACAGAATAAAAGACAGAAGACTAAAGAATTTAATGGTGAGATCTGGGCATAAGCACTAAATTTGAAAGAATGGCATTCTATCTTCTCATCCAGGGCAAGCGGGCTGGAGGACAAAAGAACTCAGGCTGTGTTTTGGCCACTCCTCTCCTAAATTCCTGTGTTACTTTTTGTTCATCATTGGGACAAAATTCAAGAAAAAAAAAAAAAAAACTCAGTGAAGGAAAGATTTGTTTTGGCTCATGGCTTCAGAGATTCTGTCACGGTCCACTGGCTCCATTGCTGGGCCTGAGGCAGGTTGTCAGGAAGCTGGGTTGTAGAGTAAAGCTGCTGAGCTCAGGGCAGCCAGGAAGGAGGGGGCAGGGTGGGGGCCAGAGAACCGCCTCACAGAAAGTACTTGGTGAATATTAACTCCCTGACAAAGGGAAGAATTTCAGGGAGTGTACCTGGGCTTGGTTTTGCAAGAGAACCTGGGTGTCCTTGTGATGCCCTCGGGCCACTCCTTCCTAGTATGACTGACACTAGCTCTGTCCGGGGCCAGCTCTTGATTAAGCAAGACCATGAACATATATTTTTTTCATCCCCAATAGGAATATATTTTTCCTGTAAGTCCGGCTATCATTGAGGTAACTGATGTGAAGCTTTCTGATTAGTCGGGGTGTTCTTAGGACGTAAGGTTCTGTAATCACAGTGGGATGACCTCGCAAAGCAGGGAAGCCACAGACCTGAGCAATCAAGAGAGCCATCTGGTTTCGGTCAGAAAGTCTGGGTTGGAACCTCGTTGTGCCTCATGGAAAATTACCCCATGTAATTTTTATTTCTTTATCTATAAAAAGTGAATTTGAAAATTGTTTGCCTTGGGAAGGTTGCTATGTGAATTAAACAAAAGGTATAAAGTTCTTAGCTCAGTAAGAGTTGACAGCCACACTCAGCGTGGACATACGGGTACTGTGGGGAGGAGCAGGAAGTGCAGGAGAGCCTCAGAGCCAGGTAGCTGTCTGCCAATTTACTGTTAGACCAGGACGCAAGAAAAGACCACTGACTCCAATTAAAATCAAATTAAAGCAAGCTTATTATTTCGACCGGCCGGGCTGCCTTTCCCTCCCCAAAAGGCGGGAACAAGACAGCACCCCACCTTTCCTACAGCCCAGCTTTATAGCCCAGAAAGTTACACAAAGGGGGGTTACAGATAACAGAACTCTGACAAGCATCACACTAGTGGTAGTTTACATTTTTTTTTTTTGCTGGCCCCAACATCAGAATTTATGAGGACCATTAGAGCCTCAGAGAGGGTCGTTGTCTGGTCAGGGAAGGCCAATATTTATGAGGTGTCACTAAGTTTCAGAGAGGGCTGCTATCTGGTCAGAGAGCCAGGCATGGGTGAGTTCAAGGCACCCGCAGGCATTCCAAGCAGGTTCAGAATTTGCAGTAATTTATAGTAAAGCCGAAATTATCTTTTCATGGTTTTGTGGCGAGATGCCCAATCTTAAGAAAAGATCAGGTTGGGTCTATCATTACAATCAATCATTTTTATCTTTATCAACAAAGACAAAAATGACAAAGAATCTTTGCAAATCAACACTAATGCTTCGACAGAACAGTATTTTTTAAGAGTCTTATTTATTTTGAAATTCCTTGAGTTTCTCTGAGTGCATGAATTCTGTTCATTTTAGAACTTTCTGAAGTAGTTAGAGAATGTTTCATTATTGGAATTATTTTATGAATTTTTTTGGTAAATACATTTGTAACTCAATGGACATGTTATGAGTAAAGAATGAACTAAAACCCTCCCAAATTTCAAGATGTTATATAACAACTTATGCAATGACCACTATTTTTATATCAGACCCTGTTGATTTATGTCTGCTGTGTCTTCTGGGTGTGCATTGTGGAATTCCTCGGCCTGGCTTGTATATTAGAATGCACGTCATGTTCATCTTAGACACCATCGGCCCACACAGCTCCTACTACCGGGGTTCTTCATCACTTGTCCTTCCTCCTCTACTAAAAAGCCACTTTTTAGTATTTTTGGTTATGGTTATAACCTCCTAATGAAATGTCTTCCTCTGTGTCTGATAGTTTGCAAAGGAAAATTTTATCTTGAGACATTTTTCATATTTGTAGGTGGTAAAAGGTACACTAAAAGGAAGAAATCATGTGGTTAAAAACAAAAAAATGGGATCCCAAAGTATCAGGATTAAATTTTCTGGCACTGGGGACTAGTGCAGTCTCCTGGCCTCAGAATACATTTCTGAGTGGTGATCTAATTTCTCAAATTCTTTGATTAAAGACTCTGAAAAGAGTACTTTTCACCAGTCTCCTTCCAAGGTACAGATTCCTGGTTCAATTACATTAAGTTCCCTCCCTGTCACGGCAGGTGGTCAGGGAGAGGTGCAGGGGGAGGTCTTAGTCACTGAAGAGTCTAAGGTGGCTCAAGATGGTTGATTTGACTTCCTGAGGCCTCAATTCTTCCATATGACTCCATCTTTACTGGGGCGGACAAGTGGGCTGCTGACCCTTGCAAGAGGTATGCTACCGCATTTTGAAGTATTCAGAGTGCTATGGAGGAGCAAGCCCACCTCTGGCTCCCACAGGCACAGTCCCCACCAATGCCCTCATCTGAAAAACCACAGTGCAGCTTGGTGGCCCTTCTGACTATACCCACCTCTCCTCAGCCTCCAGCAGATTGCCATCGAACCAATTTTTCCTGACTGGAGCAGGCTGGAGCAAAACATCCTTAAGACCGCGCTCACTCTGAGACCCTCAGGGAGAAACCTCTGCCTTGCTTTGCTCAGCGCCTAGAGCTGCATCTGTTGGTTCATGGCCACTGCCTCAGTCTTCAAAGCCAGCAGAGCAGCAGCTTCAAAAGTTTCTTTCCCACTGACCTCCCATCTTTCTCTGATACAGACCCTTGTGATTACATTGGGACCACCATAACCTGCCCTTCTCACAATTCATGATCACCCCTGAAAATGTTCTTTCACCATGTAAAGCAACATTTTCAGATTCAGGAATCAGGAATGGGATGTTCTTGGGAAGGTCCCTGTTGACTCTACCTGTCTAGGTATCCTACTGGTTTAGTGGATGGGAAAAGAACGTTGCCTAATCGTGAAAGGTGAATTCTGGGATTTCTGGGTGATATAACATTGTGGGTTAAGGGAAAAAATAAAGTGATTCATTGTTCATCCTTTCCATTGAGTAGCACTTATAAATGTGTGAACGTTTTTGTTGGAGCAGGAGGGGAACAGGTTCCGTTGGCATTTCACTGATTTGACCCATATTCGCTGAGCATACATCAAGGGCCAGGCGCTGTGAGTCCCAGAGCACACACCCAAGTGTAGAGATGACCCTTGCTTTCCAGAAACTCCGGTTTTACCGAGCAGAAGAAAACAGATAATTTTACTACATTCTCGTAAATGCAGAGAGTAGTATAACCAGGGTGTTCAGCAAAACACCCAACAGCACCCCCAGTGCAGACTGAGGAGGTGTGGAAGTGCACCCCAGCTCTACCGGTTGGTGCAACTGGAAAAGTGGGGTGAGGATGTGAGTGAGGGATTGGGGCACAGGGAATCATCCCCGCGGGCTGTTGCCTCCGCATCCCATGCTGGAGCTTGGTGCCTGCGGGGGCGAGCGGTGGGAGGGGAGCTCGCGTGAAGGGGAAGCAGGTCACGGTGTGCCCTTTCTGCCTCCAACACTGATGTGGATCACGTGAGTGTGCTGCAGGAGGAGCAGGTGTCCTCTGTCATCAGACCTAACACACCTGGCCCAGGAGTCAGGCGCTGGAGGAGGATCCAGGGAAGGGGGCGGCTGTGTCCCTCTGCAGAGAGGTAACCCAGCAGAGAAACCAGGATGCAGGTGAGCGGCAAGGAGCAGGCCACGGAGCGTGGCTCCAACCACAGGGAAGGTGCACACCTATGCGCAGGTGTCTGCTGTGGCTCGGGTGCTGGGGCCCCAGGGGCGGGATGGGAGGGGGAAAGGATGTGCCCGGGACCCAGTGCTCCGGTGAGGTCACTATAGTTCAGGAGTCCCGGGCAGCATGGGACTGGGTCCTGGGGGGAACAAGGAGTGGTCACTATGAGCGACTGTCCAAGCTGCACTTCAGAGTGTTCAGGCCCTTTGGCACCTGGCCACGGCGGCGTCTTCCTGGGTCTCCCCTTCTTTGCCCACAGCTGACCTGACAGGCTCCTCAGCTTCCCGTCACCCTCTGCCTCAGGGTCCACTGGAGCCACTTGCTCCTCCCTTTCCCCTTTCCCTTCAAGGCCAACTGCTGGTTCATGAAGGGTGAACCAGGTGACCTTCCTCCCAGCAAGACACAGAGGACCATGCTGCATGACCTGCTCTGAGGAGCCTCATTCATATCATCCAAGTGTCCCCACTGCCCAGCACAGATGTGGCATGCAGAAGGTGCTCGCTCGATGCTGAAACAAGTTCCAACAGCCTCTCAACAAACCCTTCACTTAAACAGCCGGCCTCCATCTTCGTGGTGCCACACCCGTGGGGGCAAGCTCTGTTGAGATTGGAGAGACCCCGCACCTGTACTGACACGTCCTGAACTTTTTATCTGGTCCCGATTTCCTAAAGAACACCGATAACAGCTGTTTATATGGTATTTACATGTAATCAGAGGTGGTTCCACACCCCCTGGCAGGATGTGTGCACATTCTGTGCAGCCACCGGGCCATTATTGTGTCCTGTACTTGAGCATCACAGACTTTGATACACGGGAGTCACTAGAACCGGAGCCACCAAGACTGAGGAGGGACTGCGTTTCCAGGGTCAGTGGGTTTGATCACGTCAGACAGACAAGCACCGTCTTTCCAGACTTCTTTAATAGGGATTAAGAAGGGGCAGTGAACGCTTCCAGCGTCCTCCAGATCAGCATCTACGATGGGCTCAGGGGATTCAGGGGGAGGGGAAATCTGACTCGCCCTCCTTGGCCTGCTTCAAGATGGCCTCGCACCTGTAGCTCTTGATCAAAATCTCCTGCTCCTCTTCCTCCTCCTCCTCTTCCACGAAGCCCTCCTTATTGCCTTTCGTAGGATCTACAGGGGGGTGGGTGTAGTCCTTGGGCCAGTTGTAAAGAGGCTTCAATTTTCTGGTGTAGATGAACTTAAACCATCTTCGGAAGGTTTGTTTGATAGTTGAGGAGGTCATCGTGTGGGCTATTTCCCTAAAAATATCACGGGTTGTTTTTGCTAACTCCCGAATCACCGGGTCTTCATCCCGGACTGTTTTTTCAATAACTGCAACGGTAAAAGGGCACTTGGTTTGAAGCAGCTCTCTCTCAGAGGCCAAGAAGCTCCAGCCCTCAGCAACCCCACTGCCCTCCACAGTCTCCTTCCTGCCCACCCCTCTTCTCACTCTCCCCCATCTTGAGGGAGATGAATAGCATCTCATTAAAAGAAAAATGGAAATATTCACTAAATGTCTATTGAGTTTCTATTATGTGCTTGGTAGCATCAACATGGATTCATGAAGCTTATGTACACACATTATATTGATCATAATCATGAAAAATGTTTGCTATTCAGCTACATGATTAGACCCTAGGAGCTGCTTAAAAGTTAAGGTTACCATAAAATGAAATAATGTACACATTTTAACAAGATGAGATGGGCACATGTTCCTTGGCATGGGAGGTGTTTGACCCATAAGTAGGTGAAAAAAGTTGTGATAGTTGTGAATACTAAATATGCAATGGCATGTATGTTTTAAAAAATATTTGGGATAACACATATAGCAAAATGCTAATGGGGTCCTATGCGACAGCAGGAAGTGGGGAATGATGATTTCATTTCTTAATAAAAGAAGCAGAATAAGGAGGGACCTTTAGAAAAGAAAGGGTGGGAAGAAGGAGCAGGAGGAGAGAGAGGAAAGAGGTGGTAAGAGAGACCAAGGGAGAATCCTGGTGCTGCTGAATGAAGGAGAGCGCCCCCTAGTGAGCCAGCGAGGTGAGAGGAGGGGGCAGCATAAATTCATAGGGAGTGAGAAACGTGGGACCTGCTGGGGCATGCTGACAGTGGAGGACGTGATGGGGCACCTCTGTACCTGCAGCTCAACTTCGTAGGTGAGCCTAAAAATGCTCTGAAAAATAAAGCCTCCTTTTTTTATTTGTAAAGGAAGGAATGAAGGCAGCTCCCCTATTTTCTAACTCACCTGCTAGTAATTAATTCTGACCTAAAGAGGCAACAGAGGCTAAGAGGGGGAGAGGCCTAAGACCCAGACATTGTGGGAGAACAACAGGACCCTGCTAGAATTCCCTCCTCTGCCAGTGGGATGGATGTTACCGTCAACTAAAGTGGGAATGCTGGGAGGGAAGAGGCTTTGGTGGTGGTGGTTGCTGCTGCTGCTGAGGGCCCAGAAGCTGGATAGTGCTGTGGCTCAGGAGGGGCTGGAGAGGCACTTGCTGGTTGGAGGAGTGAGGGAGTCCCCAACACTGCAGTTCCCAAGGGCTCCAGGGGGAGTGGTCAGGTTGCAGGGAAAGACGGGCACCCTCACGTAGAACTCATGTGACCAGAGTCACAAGTGGAGAGTTTATTTGGACCTATGTATAGATGTGTCATCATGACCTCAGTACTTACCCTCCAGCATGACTTCGATTTCATCTTTGAGTAGTAAATACGCACCCAACTTTGCCAAGTACCCTAGCACAGAGTGGATTAAAGTTACACCAAAGTACATCACAAAAGTGCATTCCCTGCTGTTACCTGGCTACAAGCTTTGCTTTCCTTAACGCAAAGTATCTACAGATGATCTTCCAATCATCTATTAGGGCTTTCAAATGGTTATTATTTAACTATTTGTTACAAACTATTTATTGAAACACATGTCTGTGTTGACCCAAGTTTAAACCCAAGTTTTCAATCCTGTGAATTTTTTAATGAAATTGACACAGATGTGTTAAAATAAGTTGTAAATCATAATCTAGCACTTCCTATATAATTTGTTATAGCTAAAAATTAATAAGTATCATCACAAATCATTCACCTATTATTACTTTTTTTTTTTTTAAGAATAGAGCTTGAAAAACACAAATATTTATCTCACAGTCACCCTGAGTGGGGTCTTTGTGGCTCAGTGTCAGGTTCACAGGTGTTCCACAAGCGGGATGACGAGACTCGGGGTTAATGAGTGACTCTGCAGCTAACTCATCTTCCCTACGTCTAGGTCACCAGTGTCCCAGAGGTCACCAGTGTCCCAGAGGTCACCAGTGTCTCAGAGGTCACCAGCGTCCCAGAGGCGTTCCTCAAGCCCCTTGCAGTTTCTTCCTGCACCTTCCAGAGCACGCTCTCAGGGTCTGCCTTCTTGCTGCACTTGAGCTTGGGATCCCCACGGTCTTTGATGCAGCCATGGTCCGTCCATTCCCATGGGTACACGCAGAGCTCAGTTTTCTTGAAACACACTGTGCACCCCGGCTCCGTGTTACACATCATCTCTACCTGCGTTCGCCTTATGACAGCCGAGTACCTCCAACGGAGATTCGGTGGCACTCAAAGCCTAAAATATTAAACTATCGGGTTTTCAAAAAAGTTTACTGAACCCTGCTAGATGATGTTCTATCTTTTTATTTATATTTATTTTTAGTAGCTCTGGGGATTGAATCCGGGGGCACTTTATCATGCCCAGCCCTTTTTGAGACAGGATCTCGCTAAGTTGCTGAGGCTGGCCTCCAACTTGACATCCTCCGCCTCGGCCTCCTGAGTTGCTGGGGTTAATAGGCGTGCTCCACTGTGTGTTTTATCTTATGAATGCAGCCATCTTTTTTTTTTTTTTTTCTCCTGCCAATGGTGGACATTCGTGCTGTTTCCAGTTTGGGGCTACAGTGAGTAATGGTGTATGGACATTCTCGTGCATGAATTCGAATTGCTGCTTGGTATATAACTAGCATTTACTGAATAATGGAGATACTTATGTTCAGCTTTAATAATTACTGCCAAACAGTCTTCCAAAGTGCTTGTACCGATTCTCACTCCCCCCAAAGCCTGGAGACATTCCCCGCCTCATCCAGAGGCCTCGATGTCCAGGAGTAGGAGTCCTTCAGCTTTGGCTCCCCTCAGGTCACCATGGCTCTCAGACCTTTCAATTTTCACATAAAGTTTAGATCAGCCCTCCAGCTCCACCCACACCTCCAAACCCCAGGTAAGGATCTGCTCAGGACCAGGTTGAGTGCTCGGGGAGACTGTGAGGCATGTCATCCTTCAATCCACCAACAGGAGATAGCTCTTCACCTGGGTGTTTTTTTTGTTGTTGTTGTTTGTTTTTAACTTCTGTGGTTTTCTGCTTTCTTGTGTATCAGTGTTGCACATCTTTTCTTAGTCTTAATATATTTTATATTTTTGGAGTTATATTTGATAATTCAAAAATTTAATTTTTCAATTTGTTTGTGTACCAATATCCAATTGATCTTTGTGTATTGGTGTTGTATCTAGAAACTTTGATAAATTCGTTTAATGAGTATTTTTTAAGAATTCTCTCCAATGTTCTAAACATGCCAACATTTTTGTGGAAATGTTGAAAGTTTTATTTTCTTTTATTCAAACTTAGATATTTTATTTCTTGCTGTTGCCTTATTTCAGTTTTGGATCATTCACGGCCTTATCTCTTCAGGTGGTTTCTTCTGCCTCGCTCTCTCCTCCTCCTGTAACATGAACGTCGAAGCTTTCTCTGTGTCTCATAGTATCTCATGCTCTTTCCACATTTCCCATTTTTTTTCTCTAAGTGTTGATCTTGGGGCTGAATCCTTTGCTGTGACGCATTTGATTCTCTCATTCTCTTTTACTTTCTTTCTAATTTGCTGCTGAATGCCATCCATTGAGTTCTGCATTCCATCTCATTATTTAATCATTCAAATATATTAGTCATGTGTATTTTAAACTATAATATCTTCAACAACTACACATCCTGGATTCCACTTCTATGGTTTTTTTCCTTCTGATTGAAAGCATTTCTATGAGACTGGCTAATTTTGGTTAAATATAAGCTATTGTATAAAGATGTGGATTTTCTGTATTTCAAATAGCCCTCCTTAGAGAAAGTAGCAATTTATAGTGTCACTAGTGTGATTGCTCTTTTCTTGCCACTGGGCCAAAATGTATAGTATAAAACTTTTTTTTTTTTCCTTCAGGATTGGGGATTGAACCCAGGGGCACTCCACCACTGAGCTACATCTTCAGCTCTTTTTACTTTTTATTTGGAGACAGAATCTCACTAAGTTGCTGAGGCTGGCCTCCAACTTGTGATCCTCCTGCCTCAGCCTCCCTAGTAGCTGAAATTACAGATGTTACCAGAGTATTCAGCTAGTAAAAAACTTTTGATTTTCATTAACCTCATGGACAGAAACATTTCACCATTCAATTTGCTTTACTGTATGTGTAAAATTGTGAAAGGTCATATATAAGTGCCAAATATATGTATTTTTCATATATTCTTTGCCAATTTTTCTACTGAATTGGTTGTGTAATGGATTTGTAAGAATTCCTTTGATAATGAGCATTCACCCTTTATCTGTGATAAGTATAAATATTTTACCTCAATTTGGCTTTTAACTTGGTTTCTACTGGTTTTGCGTCACCAAGATTGTCATGTAGTTAACAATCTTCTGTTATGGCTGCTAGGTTTAGACTTTTGCTTAGAAAACTTTTCCTTCTTCCATGATTATAAGGCAGATATTCCGGATTGTTTTTATCTTGTTTTATTTATAATTATGAGTTGATTTTTTAGCATTTGACTCTTTGATTATATGGAATTTATTTAATATAAAAAGTTAAAAATGAATAAAATAATTCAAAAAATTCCCAGCGGCTTACTAGGTGCCCCACATCGTCTAAGAGGCCCACCGTTCACTTTCTAAAATGCTGCCTGAGTTGGGCTGTCTGCATGGCGCCCTGTTGCTTTCATCTGATCATTGCCTGTGGTTTGATGGGGCCAGTTCCCCCTCGTTGTTCTTTCTTGCCTACCTTTACACTTAGCTTGAGGATCAGCATGCTAGTTTAAACAAAAGAAACCCGACTGGTGCTTTAATTAGCATCTGGTTCCACGTATAAATTTAGAAAGAATTCATACATTTTTTGGGGTGAGGTACCAGGGGTTAACCTCAGGGCCACTTGACCCCTGAGCCACATCCCCAGCCCGATTTTGTATTTTATTTAGAGACAAGAGCTCACTGAGTTGCTTAGCGCCTCGCTTTTGCTGAGGCTGGCTTTGAACTCGGGATCCTCCTGCCTCAGCCTCCTGAGCTGCTGAGATTACAGGCCTGCTCCACCGCGCCTGGCTTCATCCATTTTTTTGGTTTTGGTTTTGTCTTTCCCGAGACATGATTTATACCCTTTCTGTTTATTCAAGCCTTGTGTCCTTCAGTAATGTCTGCAAGTTTTCTTCACAGGTGTACTGCGCACATTCCAACGTTCAGGTTTAGATGTCCCCCCTCCCCTCTGTCCATCCTTCCTTCCATCTTTCCTCTTCCCATCTCTCTTCCTCTCTCATCTTCTTCCCTCCCTCCCTTCAGAAGCCCTCCCGCCCTCCCTCAAGCTGACCACCCCGGGGGCTTCCGCTGTCCCCTCTGGAGTCTGGCTGGACTCCATCCACCTGCCTCTACTTTCCTCAGAAAAGCTCTTCCTCGTTGTTGAAGTTGGTGGCTGCCGATGTCCAAGACTTGCTGACGATGGTGTTGGTTGGTGCATGTTTTAAAATTGTTCTTTGGACAGTGACTTTTAGGCAGTGAAAGGAAGATGAGCTGTGATAGGTCTCTGTCTGAAAGTCTGAAATCGCCCTGTTGAATGCATTCTGGCGATCATTTGACCAGACAGACGCTAGCTAACTGCATTGCAAAGGCACCTCTGCTCTCAGCTCATTATTAGCCTCTGTTCATCACAGGTGGCACCATCATAGGCGCTGGGCATCATAAACAGAGAGGATTTGTGACTTTTAATGCAGACTTACGCTGCTAGACTCCTCTGTACCTTGAAAGACAAGAAATAGAATTAAATTTATTTACCTACTAAAATAACCGATCCTCTCCTCAGGCATGGCCGGGAGCTCCCCAGGAACCCTAAGGTATCAGATATTAAATCTGTAATGTAGCTCTCGTGAGAAGCCGCCTACGAATAAAAAAGGGAAAGAACCATCTCTCGATTGTTGAAAAGACATCTCTCTCCCTTCAGAGAAGCTTTAAGACAGAGGACACCGATTGCTCCCACTGTATCAGCAGCAGCGAAGCCTGGAGCGTCCTGTGTGTGACACACTCTCTGGCAGGCGTTGAGCTGTTGACGATGGGATGCGGGAACCCACCTGTGCTGAGCTCTCTGCCACCCCCACGTGTCTCCACTGCCCACGCTGGTTTTCAGGGGACCAGGCCACGAGGGGTGGCAAAGGAACTCCAAGAAGAAGAGGAAGTGGGGAATTCTAGTTTTCGGCCATCTCAAGCCTGGCCACAATCACACTTACTTGCTATGTTTTCTTCACATTCTTTCCTCAGGATCGCCCCTGCCCTCCCCCATTTCGTCACTTTGTGCGGCCCTTCCCTTCTGTCTGTGGGTCTGACCGGTGGAAGAGGGAAGGGCTACTTACAAGGTGGTTACAGATGTTGAGCACCACCAGCTCAAAGTTGTAATTTTCATCTTTGAGAAAAACTGGTGTGGGCCACCTCAGTTGTGAGGCACAGATTCTTAATGTGTATTTACATGCCTGTGAGATACAAAAAGGTCCCTCAAGATCTCTTCTTTTGTGGTTGCATAAAACATTGTGATTTTCTGCAAAATTAAGGGGGGGGGGGAAGTCTTACTTTTGAGACTCTTATCTCCTTGTCCTCCAAAAACAGGATCAGGGGCACCAAGGCTCTAAGGGCCAAAGGGTTCAGCATCCAGGTGTACTGACTCATATCCTTCAGCAACTCACCAAAGTGTCGAATGGCCATGCTCCGAATACCCCCATTGCTCTGCCAGGTGCATGCGGAAAAGAGAAAGGGCCTCATCTGAGCACACTGCTTTCTTCAATCAACACGACCTACCTATCTATCTATCTATTTTATATGCCTATATGTGTATATTCAAATGTATGAAATTATTATTTACTTTTAGGAAAGATCTCATCTACAAAGCTCTTCTTTTGTTTTTAACGTAAGATTTACTTACCCATTATCGACCATAGCCAAGATGTAGAATTGACCTAATGCCCACTAATGGAAGAATGGATAAAGGCCACACGTATGAGTGTGCACCTCCCCTCTGTCCCACAAGTACTCTTAGTCATAATAAAGAAGAAAATCATTGCAAAAAATACAACTGACCCCAGAGGACACTACATGGCGTGAACTCGGCTAGGCACAGCATAGACAGACAATCCCTGCCTGCTGTCCTCACACACACACCCTGAGGGAGTCAAACTCATCACACAGAGTGGAACAGTGGTCACCAGGAGGTGGAGGCGGTGGGGGTGGAGGAATGCAAGAAGTGTTCCTTAGAGGGTCTAAAGCTTCAGTTAGACGGATGAATAAATTTTGGAGTGTTAATAATGTATAGCACGTTGACTATGGTCAGCCATATGCATTTTGTACTTGAAACTTGCAAAGAGATTAGATCTTAAAATGTTCTCACCATAAAAAAAATGATATGTGAAAAGATGGATTACATTGGCTAGCTTGATTTAATCATTTAACAGTGTGTGCATATATCAAAATGTCACATTGGACAAAAATAATGTATGTAATTTTCATTTGTCAGTTATGCTTTAACTAGGAAAAATATTGAAACTGGTTTAAAAAAAAAACATGAAAAGTTTTACTTACCAGAATTCAGATGGTGTTAAAAAAAATCTTGTGTAAAAAGTGAATTTCTTAAATTTAGGAAGATGTATAGCACTTAATCATGGCCTCAAAATATAAACTGGAATAGTCTGTATAATTGGGGATAATTCACCCAGGCTGTGTCCAAGGCTAGAGGACTTTGTGGAATTGCCAATGAATAGCGATGGGAGTGCCTCACCTACGGGCATACAGCTGGCCAAGTAGGAGCTGATTGCATTATGAAGACTCTGGAAGAGAAAAATCTCAGCCAGAGTCAGAAACTATTTTAAAAAATACAATCTTCTCTTCTAGTATTGAGGAAATATCATCTTCTAGTATGGACACCATTAACTTATTGTCCTCTTTCACCCATGATCAGAGACTGTTCTTCAATTCTCTTTTCTTTTTTTTTTAGAATTTTAATATTTATTTATTTATTTACATTTTAGTTTTCGGTGGACACAACATCTTTGTTTGTATGTGGTGCTGAGGATCGAACCCTGGCCGCACGCCTGCCAGGGGGGCGCGCTACCGCTTGAGCCACATCCCCAGCCCTGATTCTCCTTTCTTAGGGACAAACTTTTCTAGATTGTCACAGTGTAGTTAAAAAGTAATTAAATAAAAGGGTCCCACAAATACTCATGCCTGGAGCAGAAAAGCTGGCTCTAGGGGGAAGGCTGCCGCCTGCTGGTGAGGCCAGGCTACGACAGGATCTCCACTGGGGCTTCCGCTGAACCCCACAACCTCCAGGCTCCTCTACTCAGTTCTCCACCTAACTCACGTGATCCATCAGAGGACAGTAGCTGGAAGCGATTTTGGCGCACAGTGAGGAGTAGATCACCCTGTCCAGTTTGCATAGAAGTTTCCGGAGGGTGAGCAAGGCCCGGATGACAACGGTGTGTTCCTTGGAATGGAAGGCTTCCAGGATGGATGTCAGTAGGCTGCAGACATTTTCTATCTGCATGTGAAAGGAGGAAGATGGTGGGATTTGGGAACTGGAGGAGATTAGAGCTAGTGTTTGGCTTGCACGTCTCAGTCTGGCCTGCTGGCCCTGGCTCGCAAGAGTCACTTGTCAAGTTGCCAAAAATTTTGTGGCCTATTATTTTTAAAACGTCATTATTAAAAGTCAGGGCCGGGGTTGTGGCTCATGGTGGAGCACTTGCCTAGCATGTGGGAGACACTGAGTTCAATCCTCAGCACCACATATACATAAATAAAAAATAAAGGTCATGGACAACTAAAAATATTTTTTAAAATGTCACTATTAAAAGTTAAATTGTATTAGTTTAGCATTAAATAAAACCAAAGGTAATACTACAAAGTGATGGATTCCCGATTATTTTGGTGACAGTTGCCTATTTTCTACACCCCTGAGTGGTGGAGGCCAGTATCCAGCTGAAACACTGGGCTTCGTCAACAGCAGGGAAACCTGAGCCCAGATCACGGCAGTACTTCTATTTCACTCTCCTCGCCATTCTGGACACAGAGCCCCCATTTCGCCAATGACATTGGCCAGAGCTCTGGACGAAGCAACGAAGAACTTGATGCTTCCCAAAAGAATGCTTGCTGCCGATAAACCTGTTCACTTGTGTGCTTTATTTAAAGCAAACAGACCATGGCTCATGCCGTTCTAAATGCAAAAGCAGTGTTTACGGACAGGCCTTGAGCTTTTGGAGACTATGCTGAATAGGTAATGGAGTCATCATTGTTAGTTATTATTAGTTATATTATTAGTTATTACTTATTATCAGGCTCATTCTTAAATCAACAATGAGTCACTAGCATCTGCAGTCTCTGCGTGGCACAAGACCCGTTGGAGTTTGGAATTGCAGAACCCAGAGGCAGGCTTACTTCCTGGGACTGGAGGACTTTCGTCTGACTCAGGGGGAACCAGGCCAGACGGTGACTCTTAACCTGTGTTAGGATCAACCGAAGATTCTTTTAACACACAGACTGAAGGTCCTCAACCCAGAATTTCTGATTCCACAGGGTGGGGTGGGCCCCTGGATCTGTGTTTCTAACAGGCCTCCAGATGGTGGTGATGTTGGTGGCTCTACAGCCGTACTTTGGGGTCTGTGACATGAGGCAGTGCTCATGGGGGGTTTGGCTCTGAGAAGGGATGGGGCCATTCAGTGAGGTCCACCTTGAGCTGATGGTTGGGAAAGGAGAAAAATGTGCCTGTGGCAGGTGACAGAGAGGGTGAGGCGTGGAAGGAGAAGCCGAGTGCTCCCCAGATGGGACTTGGTGAGTGCTCCATGTGCGCTGGAGGGAAACTTGCTGAGGAGTCTGTGGTGTAGACTGGAAGAGGGGTGTTCCTGGAGGCCACGGGTGATAAATTCCGAGGGCAATGAATGATTTTATGGAAAATTTATAAATAAGGTGTTAAAGCCCCTAAGTTGGCTTATATTCTCCTCTTTTAACTCAGTATTCTTATTGAAAAAAAAAATACTAAGTGTGCTGTGGTTTACAGAAACTGAAAAAATATCCATGTTTTATCATAAAGATCTCCAGCAGCATCAGAATATCCAATTATGATCTTGGCGGTGCGGGCGGACACAACCCCACCGCCCCCACGTACCTCATTGATGACGGGGGCCATGTTGGCGATTTTCTGGAGACTCAACTTGCTAACCACAGGGTTGGAATCGTTGATCCAGTTTTTGTAGAGGACCATAAATTCTTCTGGGAATGGGTCCTTGAAGAAGTTATTCAGAAGCTGAAAGAAAAGAGTTAATAAGTTAATGATGAGTTCAGGCCAGCTGTGGTATGATTTCTGCCTGGCGTCAAATCAAGACATTTTCAGCAAACCAGAATACCAACTCCAAGAGCTTGTGTGCATGGCTCTACACATTTGGGTGCTCATAGAAGAGGGGACAGGGGACAGCGACTAGAGTAACTCACAGATGCTTTGCTTTGTTTTCATGGCTTCTATTCATCATTGGAAACTGAATGACCCATTTAAGACTCACTCACAGGATGGAGTTTTTCTGACCCGGGATGTTGCCCACAGGTGATGCCTATAAACGGCCTGGTGAGCAAAAGAGTCCCGGCCCACGACCCTGTGAGTCACGGATGAGCCGAGAGGCTGGTGCCCTGCAAGACAATACTAGACACTGTTCAAAGAAGGAGCCGAGTTGTGAGCTGAGGCCAGGACTAGGAAGGAGAGCTGGCAGATGCTGCGAGAACATTCACCAGGTACTGGATTTCGACTGTGATGAAAATTTGATTTAGAATGAAGAGTGATATTTAGATTTAGACGTGAAGGCCGAGTTGGCGTTAGCTAGATAAAGTGTTTGAAGAAGGCACTTCCAGGGATGGTGATCATGTACTAAGGGCCTGAGGTTGATGAGGCAGGGTGTGACTGAGCACCTTTTAAAAGAGCAGCCATAGGGTAGGGGACAGGGAGGACAGGAGGCAGGAGGGACCTGGGGGCCAAGTTGAGGAGGTTTAGTCTGTAACAGCCAGTTCCCCCCAAAGATGTGATTATCACGAGCCATCTTGCACCTAAAACAGGCACTCAAATATGTGCATTTTTAAAATCTCTTAAGATATGCAATGACAGCTTTAAAAACACACAATTTTCATGGAAGAATTTCAAACATTGCTCAGATAGGTAAAGCGTACAGGGAAAACAGGAGAAAACTGGAAGGAAATGGCACAGCAAGAGCGGGTGAGAGGGAGGGGTCAGGCTTCCCTTCCACAACCTTCTAGAGAGCTTTCCTCCAAATTACACACCTCATCAGAAGTGTCCACCACTTCCCTAGAGCGAGACGTTTATTTAACGTCCATGGCATGGAACTGCAAGCCTAGGAGCCCCTGGAATTGCCAGATACCCCTCCTCCAGTTTGTGGGTCAATATCCTAAACCACAGCAGTCAGACAGACATATAATAAGGACGTCACAAAGCAGTGAAAAATAATAACCATCTGATGTTGACAGTTGGAAACAGACGTGTCACTTGGGTTTAAAGAAACGCTAAAATCCACAGGGGCGGCCTCCCGCATCCAGATGTAGCTCCCCTCCCTGGGCCCTGCCTCAGCCCACTCCCCGCTGTTCTCCTAAGTCTTGGTGGGAACGGGCAGGGGTGGAGGGGGAGGCTGTGGGCGGCTTGGTGAAGACCAGGGGAGGCGCCAGACACCACTCAAGCTCTCCTAGAAACTCACTTCAGTGAAGAATATTATTGTGACGATATTGTCTTCGGACCTTCTAGGACCTTCCACGGAGATCTTGTAGAAATAATGTAGAGTCTCTGGAAACTGTGGGAAGTTGAACTCACTGAGAGTTCTGTAAAGGAGAGGAAGCCCCAGATGAGCAGAGATGGAGAGCCCACGTCGGCCAATCCTGATAGTGAGGAGAGAGGATTCTGCCCTCAGCCTCCCAGCTCGCAGGTGGGAAGGACAAGACACTGCCCACCGTTCCCTCATCCAGGGGAGGCCGCAGCCCACCACGGGTTCTACAGCCTGCAGAGCCAGCGGCCCTGGGCCTGCCGCCGTTTCTTCCTGACATGGCTCCTCTATCCAGTCTCCCACATCCTTGGCCACATAACAGGAGGAGCTATTTCTGTGCAAGATCCAGTCCTTGTCCAAAGGGAGAAGAAATAGACGTCTAAAGCACGATCCAAGACAGCCACGCAGGTCACCTATGGGGTTTCGAATCAAGCTCTTCCTTTCAATGCTGTGAGGAAGGAGAGAGTCGGGGCCCATCTTGGGTTGCTCAGGAGAAGAGGCGGCGAGCTCTGGCGCACTAAGCCATCCTCCAGACCCTTGGGCACTAGCTGGGCTCACAGTGGTCCCGACACATGGGCCTGGATCAGCTCAGTAGAGGCAGGATCAGGAAGGGGCAGAGCTTCCATGTCAGGACTCCACACTGGCTTCCTTAAACTTCAAGGTGCATTCAAACCAGCCAGACCTTGCTAATACAAGAGTCGGAGTTTTAACTCCCAGTTACAATGCTGTTGCTGCTGGTCTGTACCAAGCTTGGAGTCAGAGGATCCATAAATGCTAAGGACAGGGTGACACTTAATTAGGGTCCACTTGTAGGTCAGGAGTACTACACTCTTACACAGGAAGTGCAAACAAGTGGCCATTTTTAAAGGCACCCGTGAACCACATAGGCTGTCCTTTCTGGGTTGGGCACAACTTCAAATGGTCTGTCATGTTGACAAGGCACCGTAGCTTAATTCTTGATCAGAAAAGCTGATCCCTGTAATCCTAAGCGTGCTGTTCACTGAAGACTAACTAGAAAACAACCTTTCCAGTACACGAAAACTGAAAGTTCCATTCTATCACATTTTCCAAAACTTATCTGGCTCATTGGACACAGGTCTTTACTGGAGCTCTTTAAAGCACATCTAGAAAGATCTGGTGCCTGAAGAGCAGGAAACGGCTAACATCAGAAGGGAAAAACCAGGATTATCTTTGGTCCTGTGAAAGGTACCTGCAAGAGAAACCTGTTCTGTGGAGAGAGGATAATTGGGTATCATCAGGTAAAAGAGAAGGATAGGGAAAATATCCCCCCAAAACTCCTCAAAATAGTTGAAGAAAAAGAATCCAGAGCCAATCCAGATCATATGGAGAGATTTAGACGCTGGAGGAGATGCCAACTGTGTTCTCTGTGACCCACATGAAGGAAGGTGGAGAAGGTGGCACAGAGACCAAGCCTCCTACACGGCGCCCCCTTTCTTACTTGGCAATGAGGTGAACCCCGAGTTGGTGATACAGTGCTTGGGAAAACTGGGTCCAGCAGTTCTTTTTCTTCAGAGCAGCATCCACCTCTTGTAATCCGGAAGAGTTCAGCAGAGCTCTCAGGGCGTCCCGGGCATAGCTGGTAAAGGACAGTGAACTTCCCATAACCAAGTATGCATGACCTGGCCTGCACCCCATCTTAGGCAGGATAGGGTTTGGAGAAAGGAGATGTTTCAGAGGCAGGAGGTCACCCCACAAGGTCATCTCAGCAGTATCAGGAGTGGAGGTTAAACCCTAGCTGCAAGATCCTGGGCTACCCACAGAACCTCTTGCTAGTTTATGGGCTTATTTGTAAGAGATGCTGGACAATGTGACAGCCTGCTGAAGGTGTCCCTTTTCCTTGGTGGATGCCATAAGTAGATAGGATAGGTTTCCATCTGCTGGGGTGCCTAAAGAGCAGGGAGTGGGGCATACATCAAGGGCCGGCTCCTGTTTCAGGGTGCCCCCGGGTTTAGATGTCCACACCCGACCAGGCAAACCGCTGACAGCTGGGCTGGGATGCAGTGCTGCCCCTCCTCCCTCACCCCGCCCCCACAGAGCAACAGGAGTGGACAGTGTCCTGGGGCCTGGTGGCCTCTACACGCACATGGGGGGGGTCCTGCCTAGGCCCTCGGGTGGCGCTTCTGGGAAGGTACTGCGCCCTTCAGAGGAGAGGACAGGGCAGTCGGTGAATGCACCGGCAGGAGGCAGGAGCCCCCGGGGCCCCAGGGCTGGACGCTCGTCGTGGGCGCTCTCACAGCGGCCTGTCCTGGGGCATCACTCTCAGCTGGCTGCTGTAGAAGAGCTGCAGCATGAGGGCCAACAGGAGGTGCGGGAAGAACTGGGCCACGGCCTTCTTGTAAGAGCCCACGGGCAGAAACGTGCACAGGGCCTGCGACGCCTGTCGGGAGGAAGAGGCCCGTGAGTCTTGGCCAGGAGAAGGGCAGAACTCTGCAACCTCCCGCCCCCGGGAAGGCAGCCGCTGCCTGCCGTCCCCCCGGCAACAGCAGGGCCAGGAGCGCCAGAGCACCCGTCAGTCAACCTGGCTGCCAGACCAGCACCAAGCAAGCTGGCTCCCAGGAGGGCCCACATCCCGAGGTCCTTCATCAGTGGCCGTGAAGAAGAGTCCTACCAATAACCCAGGCCCCCTGTGCTTGAGCAATCCAGAGAAGCAGCATAGGTAAAGGGTGGGCCGGCTGGTGCCCGGGTCTTTTGGTGTGCTGACCCCTGGGAAGCCAGCACAGCAGAACTTCACGTCCCAGCACCTCGACATGTTCCTCTGTTATATTTCTGTAAAACCTGAATTTATTCTCCAAAGTAGTGATTTGGGTAGTTGGGGATGCGTGCACTGGACACAGGTGCAATTAGCCCTTCCCGTGTCTAGATGACTATGTGATTTAGCTGGAGGCTGCCCCTCTGCCACCTACACCTGCGCCCTGGCTCAGTTCAGCCAGATTCCTGGGCCTCCCGGCGTTCCCCAACACAGGTGAGCTCCAGTCACCACAGGACATTTGCTCTTCTGTTCCTCCTGGACACATGCAAAGACCACCCTCCCCAGACTCAGGTGTCTGACTAGATGTCACCTCAGCAGAGAGGCCTGCCCTGACCCACTGACCTCACCGGCACCTTCCCACCCACACCAATGTAGGTTTCTTTTGACAAGTGTCACACTCATTTGTTCCTCGCCTCCATTCTCAGCAGAATGCAAGCTCCCAGGTCTGACAGGGTGTTGGAGAGTGGGTGCCCGAGGGGGGACTGGGATCTCCCCCCCACAGGAACACAAGGCTGGGAGGAGGCACGCGTGTCCTTTACCGCCACAGGCATCATGTTGGTGGCGTCCAGGGAGAAGCGCCTCTTTTCCTCCATGTCCTCCTCCGTCTCTCCGGGCTTTCCTTTCAGGATCAGAAGGATAGTCTTCAGCACGAGAGGGGCCACGCTCCCCTCGGAACCCGCCGCTTGCCACATCAGTATTAGAGTGCTGTGGACACAGAGGGCTCGGCCTTAGGGGAAGCCCGCGTGGCAGAGGCGGGAATCGGGAAGCCGGCCTGGGACCAGCCCCAGGTGGACTGGCATCGGGTTCCAGTGATCCCACCTGTGCGTTATCCTCAAAAACAGAGGAAGAAGTGAAATAAGATCTTAGAAAACAAAAAACAGTCTGCATGTCTGTGTGTTCATTTCTTACTGCTATTTAAATGTCCGCCAAGTTCATGTCAAGAACCCCTCCGTTCTCTGCACCCCAAACTCTGCTCCCCTAGCTCATGATCTCCTTAGTCCAGGAAGAGTGGCACACTTGAAGACTGGCATGGGGATACAAATGCAAATCAAAATGTAGACGATTCTTCAAAACCCTAAACAAAATAACTAACAAATAAAAACCTGAGCTCATTTGGCTAAATGTCCCATATTTTAATGGTGACACAGATGTGACTAGAGCCCTGGCTTCTTCCCTTTAGTCCTCAGATCCTTTCTCTACACACTCAGCCACTGTTCATGATTATTCCTACCTTTGCTCATCTTAAAAACTGCTGCTTATCTTTTTGCCAATATATTCCCGAGACCTTGTGGATCTATGCAGAGTTCTGGTGCCTCTAGCTCAGTCTTTCTGGCTCCTACTATGGGGCCTGGAATACGTGGATGTACCCAGCTCTGTGGAGTGGCCCTTGCCCTCGGGGCTCACACTGAGAACCCCCGTGGACAGCCAGTCGCAGGCCTGTCTTGTTTTCTTGCATCTTGCTCATAACTTCTCTAGCTTGGCTCCGGGTCCGAGCCTTTTCCATCCGTCGTTGCTCACCAGGGCGTAAGACCTGGGCCATGTGGCGGGTTTGCCTGGCTCTGCCCGCTCCCTGTGCCTCCCTGCTCGTCATCTGCACTGGAGTTAACAGCAGGTTTTGCCCTTGTGGATCTATTCCCCCGCAAAGGCTGGAGGGCGGATGACACTGTGTGCACAGCGGTGCCTCACGCTGAAGTGGGGGAACACCGAGTCTCCCCGTGCTCTTTCCAGGAATGTAATGGATAGTGAGATATGCTGTGGGTTCAGCCTCCTGAAAACCAGCAATCTCTCAGTCAGGAAAAAAAAAAAAGTATATACTCTGTTCAGAACATTAAAAAAAAAAACTCCATGATTTTTTTTTCCCTCAAAAAAAAAAAAAGAGTAAATTCATAAATGGGAAGAAAAGATCCTTCATCGTTTTGAGAAGTTTGTTCCGGTGTGATCTGTGATAGAATATAGTTGAAAGCCTCAGATAATCGACATTTCTTGAGGGCCTACTGTGAGCCAGGTATCGTACAAGGTCACAAATAATAGATATGATCTTATCTAAGCCTTACAATCATCCAACATAAGGTAAAAATAGATATCCTCAGAAATAAGAAACTGGGCCTAACCATGACTGGTGGAGATTTGAGCCAAGTCCCTCTGACTGTGGAGTCTGAGAACAAACCTGGATGGGGGTGGGGGGGCAGTGGGGGTCTCCTTACTCATCAGCGGGCACCGGGTAGTCCATGAGTTGAAAGATGACCTTCTTGGGTGAAGTGCGCGTCAGCAAGGTGGTGACCCGCAGCATAGAGTGCTTCATGCTGTGGGAGGGATCTTCACACAGCTTCTTATAAATAAAATTCACAATCTTAGACACCTGGAAGAGAAATTCCAAGGCATTGCTCCATGAAGAATTCAGAATGATCAGAGCAGCAGTGAACGCACAAATACGCACCGGCAGAAAGTGTGTGTGATGTGTGTGACCACACAGTGCATTTATGTAGAAGGGGGACCAGCAGGGAGAGGAGGATGGGCAGGGGAGGGAGGAGGGGAGGTGCCGGGGCTGAAGCTGATCAAGTTATGCTGTGAGCCTGTAGGATGGCGCCACAGTGGGTCTCGCTCTTCTGTGTTACTATGCGGTGGTAATTTTAAAAAGCTGGGCATTCATGAATATTGGAGAAATGCCCATTTTTAGAAAATTTGTTTTGGGAGGCCAGACTTCATTATATAAGGCATGCAAGCTTAATGATAGAAAAAATATATATATTATCTTAAAGAAGAAAGGCAAAACAATTGAGTAGAATAATGATGGACATATTTATCTCAAAAATTGTTCTGAGAATTGAAGAACTGAATCTGCATATTGAGGGCACGAACTGGGATGAGAGGAATCAGCCAGAGTGGTGAACCCTGCGCCATAATCTCGCAAACTCTGTTCACAGGTTCCATGTTTGTTTTACTTCTCCTCCTTTTTGACTCATTCCTGAACAGGAGAGTCCCCGCTAGACCTGGAATGTGTCTGAAAGCAATGAAGTCTCACATGGTGCAGGGCCCTCCCGTACCATGGGTGCTCCAAGCACCAGAGACCTACACCTTGTCTCCTCCAGGGACCTCCTCGCTGTAGGCCCAGAGCTGCTGCTGCTTGGCCTCCTCCTGCTCTGATGCGGCTCAGCCCTAGGACAAGCCAGCCCCGGCCCTGGGTGCTCAATTCTGGGGTGATGATCTGTTTCAAACTCAGAGAAACACTCGATGGGTTAGACGCACACAGAGCTCCTATGGCCACCCATCATTATGTGCCACTGGGGCGGGGGGCGTATTTTTAACTCCCTAGGCTTGGTAGCCCAGTTGTCTGTGGGAGCTGGGGAAGGGTGATAAAGTCAGAGAACCCCATTTTTGTTCCGTTCTATGTGGTTAGTGGTTTACTGTAACAGAGGATGTTTGTTTCTGGCTTTCTGGTGGTGTTCTTTCTCTCCAGGGACTTGGAATGGCTTCATCTAGCCTCCCTTGGATGCTCTTTCCTCCTGTTAGAGGAGAACTCTGTGGAGCAGGGTGAGTGGGGTAGTCCTTAGGAGCTCCTTGAAAAAAAGTCCCTTGCTCTGTCTCCCTCTTGCAATCTTCCCTTGCCCTTCTGCCTGCCACCATGAGATGATGCCACAAGGAGGCCCTTGCTAGATGCAGGATCCTCAACCTGGGACTTACCAGGCTCCAAAACTGTAAGAAATGAATCTCTATTTGTTTTAAATCACCCAGCCTCAGGTATTCTGATATAGCTACACAAAGCAGACTAAGGCAGAAACCCATATATTCTTTCCATCTTTCTTTACTTATCAGCAAGGAGAGGATGTTAGAATATGTGAATGACAACAAGTAAAATAAAAGAAGCTGAATTAGTTTTGGGTAGTGTTTTTACTCATTTGGTAACAATGAAATTTATTTGTGTGCATATGCTATAAAATATAAATTGTTTTATTTTGGTAAATGGCATTTTGCAATATAGATGTGGATAGCAAAATTTATGTAATAGTTTAAAATTATTTAAAACTAAAATTGTTCTTTTTATTTAGAAAAACATTAAATTCGAACATCAACAAATAATGAATACTTGAGAGAGGGAGACCTCAGAGGAAAGGTGACCATCCTCGTGTGCTGATACACATAATGACACTGTATTCCCATGTGGTGAGGACATGGGTCCATCTTTCATTTTTCCTAGACTCTACAAACTATGCCAAGCTGAGGGTCCTTGAAAACTTGCCTTAAAGGCTGTGCAGATTTCAATTATAACTCTACTGTTATTGTTATTGAAAGATTTCTTTAAAAAAGATCAAATATGGCAAAATATCATAATTTAATATGATCGATGGGTGGATATTCATTATCATATTCTCTAAAATTTTCTATATGGTGAAATATTTCATTTAAAATCCTCATATTAGTAAAGTGACAGAATGAAAAATGGCAAGGACTATAAACTGAGAGAAATAGATTTAGAGCAAAGTCAAAAAGTAGACTTGAGAGAATAAGCCCTCCCCGCCTTTGCTCACTGCTGATTCTTACCATGATGACCTTCTGGGAGTGATACTGCAGAGTCAGCTTCAGGATAGAGGCTGCCTCAGAGGCAATTTCAAAACTGGCTTCAGACAGTTTCATCAGGAGGGTCCACACAAAGTCAGTCAGCAAGGAGGGCAGTAAAGTATTTCCTACACTCTGCAACCAGAAGGAGAGTTGTGACCTCAGACCTCATAGCAACACAGGAAAATGCTGAACTCAGACACTGGGGGAAGCTCCAGGGCCAGGCAGGGCCTCGAGACTTTCATGGGCCTCTGTGGGCTCTTCCTTTATTAAAAACTAACAGAAGTTATATTTTCTAATAGTGTCAGTATAAAGACGACTATAATCCAAGGGTAATTTTATTCGGTTTTGTGTTCTGATTTTAAAACAATTCTGCTGTCCAGGTATTGTGGACATCTTTAGCTTTGGAAATGAGTTTGCTCAGGTCAGAAACAAGTACAGTGAGCAGATGCAGGAGGAGGTGGGCAAGAAGTCAAGGTGACTCAAATGTGCACATCAACAACTAGGAAGAGAGAAAGGGTCTGTCGGCCCACTACTGAGGTCAAAGAACGACTACGCAAACAACCCTCTTCTAAAGTCAGAGGAATATCCATGGACCGAAAAATTAGAATACAGTTGTATGATTAAGGACCAAGGAAAGATGAATGAACCCTTTTCTCCTTGTCCTTTACATGAGAAAAATCACATTCTTCCAAGTTCAGAAGGTGTACCCAGTCCCACCAGTAAAGCTTTTCTGTATCGTCCACAGGGATGGGTGATCACCTTTTTCAATGGAAAAGGACTGAGGTCTGAGTGAGAATGGATGACCACCAGCCCTGCTTCCAGGGGGCAGGGGTGAAGGGTGGGATCCTGGAGAAGGATGGAAACCAGAAGAGGGCAACCAAGGCTCCGCGAACCCAACCCAATACTGGAAACAGTTGGCCTTACTTGAAGAAAGCCAAATTGAATGTGAGACGCTGAATTTAAAAAAAAACAAAACAAAACAACAACAACAAAAAAAAACATCAGGAGGAGAAATATTCTCTTTTGAATATTTATTTACTCAGAAATTTTAATCTAGTATCTATCTGAAGGTTGTGGGAGTTTCGCAGTGCAACTTAGAACTAAAGTTGGATGTTTCTGTGAGGTGAAGACCCTGGTATGAAGGTAGACACATCAGAGGATGGTGTGAACTTCATCAGATGAGATCAACACAGAGCCACAGTGTCACCCCACGTCTACAGACCTTCTCTTGCTATTGTAACCCCTTGCTGAATGCCCTGGATGCTCCTGTTGGGAGTCGCCCCGTCTCCAAAGACTAACTTCCCCATCCCCCAGGAAGAGCCGTCCAATGGTAAGCCCTGCTAGGCTCACATGATCCTGCCATCCAATGGTAAGCCCTGCTAGGCTCACATGATCCTGCCATCCAATGGTGAGCCTTGCTGGCTCACATGATCCTGCCATCCAATGGTGAGCCCTGCTAGGCTCACATGATCCTGTCATCCAATGGTGAGCCCTCCTGGCTCACGTGATCCTGTCATCCAATGGTGAGCCTTGCTGGCTCACATGATCCTGCCGTCCAATGGGGAGCCCTGGTGGCTCACCTGATCCTTACCCTCCAATCAAAAAGCACCCCATGCCAACTGTCAAACCACCCCTGGCTCTATAAATATGCAGAGCTGTTCCTCAAAAAACAGGCATTTGCTCTGATGACAAGCCTTGCTCGTTCTTTCATTGGTGCCGAAAGCCAGGAGGGAGAATGCCTCGCTGCTCGAGGGCCCCCTCTCTCAAGGTTTGCCATCCTGGTCCACTCTTTCGAGTGCTGTTTACAACACCAGATCTTCAGTAGGTGAGTTCCCCTATCGGGTATCCAACTTCAGATGGGCTACGAAGGGGCTTTGACCGTGATCGTCCGGCAAACCTCTGACGCCCAATCTGGAGGAGAGAATGCACCCCACCATGACCTTTATGGTCACAGTGGACTCTTTGGAGCCCAGTTCAGGAGCGGGAGGTCCTGAGGGGTGGAAGAACAGGCACTCCTCTCTCTCTCTCTCTCTCTCTCTCTCTCTCCCACCCTTGTCCCTCTCCTGACCTATGGGGGCCTTTCTTCCCTCCCTGTAGACTCCCCCTTATTAAATTCTGCACACATGATTGGCCTTACTATCAATTAGAAAATCAAAGTCAATGGCCCCCAGGAGGATCCCTAGACCCTGCAATTCTCAGAGATCTGTTTAACTTCTGCGAGCGCTCGAAAAAGTGGAAGAAGTTCCCCTATGCTGAGGCTTTTTCTCTTCTTCATTCTCACCCCTACCTATCCGGCAGATGAAGCCCCTCCCTACCAACCTCCCCCATCGGCTCCGTCCACCCCCTCAGGTGCTCCCCCTGACTTGGCCGACACCTTTAGTTCCCCCCCAAACTAGGTCTGGCCCCTAGTCCCACAAATCTATAGCCCATTTAAGAGAGGTTGCTGGACCTGAGGGCATTATCCAGGTACATGTCCCGTTCTCTATGAATGACCCATGCAACTCGAGCAAAGGTTGGGCTCATTCACCACGAAAGAGAGTTTCAGTGGGTCCTCCAGGCTTAGAGCATCACTTATATGTTATTGGCTAATACTCTTCTTCCTGAGGAACGTACCAGAGTCTGGGAACTTGCCAGAGCCCATGCAGATGAAACTCACTGAGTTAATCCCAGTCACCCTCCGGCGCCACTTGCTGCCCCAGATCAAACTCCCAAAACCCCAGATGGCCGTCATGTCCTTATGACATATTTCCTCTCACAGAGCTACCCCGACATCTGAGCCAAACTGAAAAAGCTCAAACAAGGCCCTGCCACCCCCCCCTGACTGAGAAATTTCAGATGCTCACCCAGCTCCTGCAGGATGCTTCCTTGGGTCGCCACCCATCACCAAAAACTCCCCTGGGTGCCTGCTTCAAGTGTGGTAAGGAGGGACATTGGGCCAGGGCATGCCCCGCACCAAGCACTCCGCATACCCCATGCCCTAAATGTCAACAGCAAGGTCATTGGGGCTCTGACTGTCCTAGATCCCATAGGAGGGAACCCTCCGAACTTCTGGGCATGGCAATCAATTGACGGTGCCTTGGGTCCTTGTCCCTGGCCGTAATGATCAATAGACAGAAACCCAGGGTGCAGATTCAGGTGGATAGGTGCAAGGTTGACTTTCTCCTTGACACCAGAGCTACCTTCTCAGTCCTGACAGAATTCTGGGGGCAAAGAGTTGCACTTCTTAGCAAGGAGTGCCGTCCACCTCTCTTATTGTTGGGGTAGGAGGAAAGACCATCTATCCAAGAAAGACTCCCCTATTACTCTGTTCCATAGACAACTTCCCAACCTCTCAGACGTTCCTAGTTATGCCCCAATGTCAAGTTCCTTTGCTCGGCTGAGATATTCTCTCTAAATTCAATACAACAATCAACATACGGGCTCCTGGCATCAGTCAGGCCCCAGAATCGGCATGTTCATCTTTTCTGGCCCTTTTGGAAGAAAACTGGCCATTCTGCTCCACTTGTGAGGCTGACATGAAATACCATACTAACCTAGTTGACCCGATTGTATGGGATACCCACAGCCCCTCCACCATTTCCTGAATATTCAGGACCTTCTTAGCAAGGGGTACCTCCATCCTGCTCATTCCCCTTACTCCCATACTAGCGGTAAAAAAGCCCAATGGGTCCTACCTACGACTCATCAACACTTCCGTTAGGCCCATAAAGTTCTTCTGGGCCTACAACAAACATCCTTTGGTTCCCAACCCATACACCCTGCTGTCTCAGATCCCCCACACTGCCACCCACTTCTCGGTCATAGATTTAAAGGATATAATTTTGCCTTTAACCTGGACTGTCCTGCCTCAGGGATTTCGAGATAGTCCACACCTCTTTGGACAAACCTTGGCCTCCGACCTCCAATCTTTTCACCCCCAGTGCCACGAATCCACCCTCTTGCAATTTATTGATTATTGTCTGGCAAATCTCTTTGCCCACCTGTGGGGAGGAAAGCACCCCACCACAGCCTTAGGCTATGGTGGCCCTCAGGGACTCCTTCCTTGGGCAGATTCAAAAGTCCTAGTCCTCTCACCTTAAGACTAGGCCACTAGAGAGACACTTACCCTCCCCTTCCTCTCCCCTCTTTCCAGCCCTGGGAGTATCCGGCCTCTCCAGGAGAGGTCCCGAAAAGCCTTGGCCAAGGTCTCCCACTGCTCCGTCTCCATCCAGGATGAGAGCTTCGACTGTCAGGATTCAGTGACGACCAATCTCTGCAGCTCGAACCTGCCACTTAAGCACTCCTGATTTTTTGGCTCTAGTGGGGACGCCCCTTTTGGCAATAAATCAGTTTCCTCCTTCTCTGCGTCCTCTTCCCTCCTCCTTACATGGGTAATGTGTCCTCTCTGCCTATCGACTCTCCCCTACAATGCCTCTTGGATCAAATATAGCACCCAGGCCTGGCCCACTTATCCCTTAGACAACCAAAGCAGATGGCCCCTTTTTGGGCCCCTGGATCCCTCCATTCTAAGGGATCTCTTCCAGGCTTTCTTCTTGCTCTGATCCAATCCTGCTCTCTGCACCTCTTGCAAACAAATTCTTCTAGCCCATCCAAAGGGCGCTCAACAGATGACAGAGTTCTCCTACTTAATTTCTTGGCCTTAAAGGGAAATCGGGCCTCTCCACAAAAGGCCCAAATAGCATGTATCTAGGGTTCTCTATCTTTCAAGGGAAATTGTGTCTATACCTGCACCAAAGACCAAAGATGACTCTCCTTCTTGGGTTTGACTGGGTACTTCAGGGCCTGGATTACTTTTGAATTTCTCCCTCCTCATCAGGCCGCTATATAATCTGGCCAAGGGCCCCCAAAATGAACCCCTACTCTCAGCGGGAGGGAAGCCCTTTAAAAAGGCCCTCCTCTGGGCACCTGCCCTGCATCTCCCCGACCTCTCCCGATACTTCACCCTCTATGTAAAAACAGGGACAAAGTCTGGGCGTTCTGGGTCAGGAATATGGCCCCACATTTGCACCAGTGGCCTACCTATCCAAACAGCTCAACCCCACCGTCAGGGCTGGCCCCATGCCTCAGAGCCCTAGCAGCGGCCCATGACCTCCAGAAATAAGCTCACAAGCTTACCTTTGGCTCCCTGATAACCATCTCATCTCCTCACCATTAAAGGATTTCCTCACTTAAAAGGGGCTACAGTCACTTCCTCCTTCCAGGGTCCTATCCCTCCTTGTCTCTCCTTGAAAATCCCTCCATGTCTTTTCAGCCCTGCTCTCCATTAAACCCTGCCTCCCTCCTCCCATCTTCTCCCTCACAAGATCCCGTCCACAAATGCCTGGAGGTATTAGAGACGATTTCACCCTGCCCTACCACCATTTCTGGGGACCCCTGCCCTCTTTGGACCTCGTCTGGTTCTCAGATGGTAGCTCCTTTATACACGAAGGGGTTAAAGTGGCGGGGTATGCTGTCGTTTCCCTCTCATCCATCATAGAGGCAAAACCTCTCCCACCCAATACCACCAACCAACAAGCTGAACTCAGAGCTGCCACAAGGGCATGCGAGCTGGCGGAGGGAAAAACCCTCTCCCTACATAATACGTCTTCCATATCCTGATCTCCCACGCAGCCATTTGGAAAGAAAGGGGGCTATTGATCACCAGAGGGACGGCAGTCATTAATTCCACACTTATTTCTGGCCTACTACGAGCCTCCAGGCTGCCTTCCCAACTGGGAATAATCCATTGCAAGGCCCCAAACTGACTCCTCCCTTACTACTGTGGGAAATTCCAAGGCCCATCTCTATTCCAGTCCACAGAGTCTCACTACTTTCCTTCACTCCTTTTTCACGCTTTCCCCACGTGATAAGACCCTCCTACAACAGATCACTTCCGCTTGTCAGATCTGCCAGAAAACCAATACCAATACTCCATTAAACCTTTCCCTTCTCATCAGGCCCACGGTCATACCCCAGCTGCAGACTGGCAGATTGATTTCACCAACATGCCCCGAGTAAAAAACATAAAATATCTTCTTGTATTGGTAGATACTTTTTCAGGATGGGTTGAAGCCTTTACCACTTCCAATAAACGGGCCTCTACAGTAATTGATCTATTGCTTACTCACATAATCCCCCATTTTGGGATGCCCACTTCTATCCAATCAGATGATGGCCCAGAATTCACCTTGCAGATAACTCAGGAGCTGGTTCATGCGCTATCACTCCCTTGGCATTTCCATTGCCCTTACCGCCCCCAGGCTTCCAGAAAGGTTGAAAGGACCAATCGGTCCCTTAAAGAGACCCTCACCAAGCTCACCATGGAATTAAGCCTGGATTGGGTAAAGGTGCTCCCCTTGGCTTTATTGTGCATTAGGGCCTTGCCAAAAAAAGCCTTCTAATCTCTCACCTTTCAAAGTCATGTATGGCCATCCCCTCGTTCCTCCCGGACTGCCTACAGAACCCCTACCCATCTCCGATACCTATGCCCTGCCCCTCCTCTTCCATCTACACTCTGAACTCTGGTGCTATAAAGCCTGGCTCCTTCCTGACCCCAGTCTCTCTCAAAACCCTACCTCCTTAACACCTGGTCAACTTGTTTACTATTGCCCACCGGGGAAAAAGCCCCCTCTAAAACCAAATGGGAGGGTCCTGCTCAGGTGATTATGTGCACTCCCTTGGCAGCCAAACTCAAACTACCTAATAACCAACTTACCCCGTGGATTCATATTTCCAGGCTTAAGCCCGGCATTCCTACACCTTCATCAGAAGAGCCAACGATCGTCACCTGTCATTAAGTACTCTTGTCAATGCTCCCCCTTGTTTCTGGCCTCTCTTGGGTCCTCTCTTCACCCTATGTCTGGAGATTCAAGGCAAGTGACCCTAAGGGGCCCCTCCAGCCAGACCCCCTTTTCTTCCTTTCAGATCCCCCCTTACTTGCTTGGATCTGGTCAGTAGTGGGGCCGTTGTGTGTTGTCCTTCTGACAAAGCACTTAGGTGTCCAGAGCATGGTGACCCCTGAATAAGTGTGATCATAAGAGAGCACTTTACCAGTTGCCTGCTGGGCCTAAGGAGGAACATGTGTACTTTATTTACCCTCCCAGTTTCGTAAAAATTTCAAGTATCAGTATTTAAAGTTGAGGTGTTTTACATAAAACCTGTAGAGAGAGCTGACTGCTCTCAAAGGGAAATATGGTAACAGTGAGCCACTGTCCTCCCTTGGCCGCTTCGAGAAAGGCAAAGAGAGAAGCAAGCTGGTACACCCAGTTAGGAGAAAGTTTGAAGAGCAGCCTAAATAGAGAGGGGAGAGAGCTAGATTGGACTAGGAATGAAGAGTGGAATTGAGGGTGTTAGGTGCAGGTCAGGCTGGTCTGCAGGTCATGCCAAACAAAGTTAGCTGCAGAATGACCTGGCTTCTCAAACCCTCTGTCTGGTTCTTTTTATCACCTGTTTGCTTCAAGCCCAAACGCCCAAGCCCCCGCTCAAGGCTGAACACTTAACCCCCTTTGTGCCAACAAGGCAGCTTGCAGACCCATAGACCTCATTAGATTTGGGCTATAAAAACTCCCTGTGCCTATTCCTTCCCTTTATCATAAAGTTCATTCAGACTCAGGTGGGTAAAAAATTTCTAATCAAGCTTTTACCAGCCTCTCCTCAGGAATTACCAGCTCCTGGCTACTGATGATACCTCTAGTGGAGACCTATGCCGAATGGACTAACATCATCATGGATCTGTGGTGGCAAGGAATCTTTGTTGATCTGGTTCCTGAAGTTATACTGGTCTTCTCTGCCCTGCTATGGGGGCTCCTTACTTCCCTCCTTCTTTCTCCCACACCGTCCCATTTCAGCAGCAAGCAGCCAGAATGAGTTGACGCCCACTCTCATTTAATAACAAAGAGGGAGGAATGTTGGGAGTCACCCCGGCTCCAAAGACTAACTTCCCCATCCCCCCAAAAGAGCCATCCAATGGTGAGCCCTGCTAGGCTCACATGATCCTGCCGTCCAATGGGGAGCCCTGCTGGTTCACCTGATCCTTACCCTCCAATCAAAAAGCACCCATGCCAACTGTCAAACCACCCCTGGCTCTATAAATATGCAGAGCTGTTCCTCAATAAACGGGCATTTGCTCCAACGACAAGCCTTGTTCGTTCTTTCACTACCTGTTGTAACAGTTGCATGATATGCTGGGGACTTGACATCCCACCACTTGTCATTTATTTATCCATGCTGGACATACACTTCAGAGCACAGGCTTTTGCCAAGAACCTCTTCTTGTAAACAGATGAACTGTTTTGAATTATTTCCTTTCCACAAATTCCATGAGTTTTTTTTTTCTTTATAAGACAGTGTCCTCTTTTACAAACTGTTACTATATAAAAGGAGGGAGCCTTCGTCTGTGAACAGCCTTTATGTTTTCAATGCAATCCTCCCATTTTAATGGTGTTTTGCTTCAGTGCCTTGAGCTCACACCTGGCTGTGATGCTCCTATTTGCCATCTTTGGACTTTGACTGTGGTCCTCTTAGTCTCCTTGCTACAACTTTGGATTCTATGGACCCACCTACTGGTCTTCTTGTTCCAACCTTGAATGCTCCAAACTCACCTATTCCACCTTCTTTGGAAAGTCCCTACCTACTGTTCCTGCACTCATGGCCAGCATCGAACTTGCTTTGGTCTCAACTGGGAACTGAAAAATAGGTCACACACACAAGGACCCAGGGTACCCCAACCAAGGAATTCCAAACCTGGTAGACATTAAATACAGAAAAGAGAGGACTCCAGGGCAGACGTTGTGATAGCAACTCTCATAAGCCACTTGCAAGAGGCCCCGAGGAAGCTCCCAGTCCCAGCCTCACTAGCCCAATCATGGAGTTAGGGTTTTAACTCTAGGGTACCAGGGGGATGGCAGGGTGGATGAGAATGGTTTGGTGACAAACCTACACAGATGCCTTGTTTCTTCATGAAAGTGACCAACTTCATGGTCAACCAGGCTTGCAATAGTTGTGGGGTGGTGAGTAGAAAAACCCCTTGATTTTGGAAAGATGTGCCATCCTGTATATGCATATTTAAGCTGTCTTTGTAATGTATTTACTATGTCATGTTAGATGCATTGCTTCAGCATATCTTCAGCCTCTCACAATTCCAACCAGGGGAGGAGGAACTTCAGCCAGGGGAGTAGAAACTGCTTATGTCTCTAGTTTTAGGAACTCTAGGCCCTTCTTCCCCAGAAGATCAGCTAGCCTGAAGGGCCACCCCTGGAGTTTTTCTGAGTGACTGGCTCCAAGTGTCTGTCCATTTGATAGCCCAGTCTGTACCCAGCTACTTTTTAGCCAAATAAAAAACAGTATAACTAGGAAACATTCATCTTATTTGCATTTATAACCATTAAAATATTTATCAAATAAATACTTGTTATTAGAAAATGCTACAAAGTGCTATACTTGAGAATAATAGACTTAATTCTTATTGATAGGAATAAAAGTCAGGAAACCAAGTGCTCTGTATATCATTTACCTAAGTGGGGTGATGATACCTGAGCAATCTTAAGTTTATCTCGTTGTAAGGTCTTGGGTTGGATTTCCACTTGAGGAACAGTAGTCAGGTGGCAATAACTTCCAAGTGTGTTATAATTTATAGGTGAATTTTTTTCAAGGTCTGTTGTATTAAGGAAAAGAGTTTAAAGTTTCTACTTGATCGTAAACTATGATATATTGATCATATATTGACATATGCTATTTAAAGGTCACAACTTTGATGATATTGTTCTTTCCAATTTTCTTTTCCTCCCCAGTTCTATAGAGCTAGTCTTCTGAATATGTAACTCTATGCCCATAGCTATGGCACATAAAATATTATAATGGCACTGACCCAGAATGTAGAAAGTATTTAAAATAAGCTATGTGAAAAATTGAAGGATATAAATAATTTTTAGAGATTGACCAGATATCAGATGCATTTAGGCCATCAAATGTGATGTTCAGTGACTGGAAGAAGCTATTTCTAAGTTGCAGGGTTTGCTGATCAGAGAGTTAACTAACTTGGAGGTACTTTGAAAAGGTCTGAGGAGTGGTGCCCCTGGAAAGCCAGGCTCTCAAGGGGAGGTTCAGGTACAGATGTCCTTACTTCCAGGAAGATGTGTTTTTAAGGATTTCACTCCATAAATAGCTTTATGGAGCTGTAATTGACATATACTATTTAAAGTGCACAACTTTGTAAGTTTTTGCACATGCGTACCCCCACAAACCCATTTCCACAATCGAGAAATGAGCATATCTGTTGCCTCCAGGTTTCTGCATGTATTTCCCATCATCTCACACCAGCTTCCCTACCTTTCTCCAGATTCCAAAGCAACCGCTCATCTGCCTTCTGCCATGTGCCTTCAGTTAAGTTCGCATTTCCTAATTTTTTATAAGTGAAGTCATATAGTCCCTACCCTTTTTTCCACATTTTTATTAGTGCATTATAGTTGTACGTAATGATGGGAGTCTACCCTTTTTGATGGATTCCTTTTACTTGGCAAACTGATTGAAATTCACCCATGTTGTTGCATGAACCCACAGCTCCCTCCTGCCATTTCAGCTTTAGACATCCCATTGGGTGTGTAGTAATGGTTTTGAGTTTTGTTTCTTTAACGACTCTATATTGAACATCATTTGATGTGCTTCTTTGCCAAAATGACCATTCAAATCTATTATATGTTTTCAGATTGTTTGTCTTTTTTTCTCACTGAGTTTTGAGGGTTCTTTGTGAATTCTGGATATGACTCTTGTATCTGATATGTAATTTTCAAGGATCTTCTCCCTGTCTGCGGCTTAGTGACTAAGAGCGCCTGTCAAAGAGCGGAGATGCTTAATTTGTCATTTTTTTTTCATTGATTCATCATTTTTTTTTTGTATTGTATATAAAAAGTCTTGACCTAACCCCAAAACCAAAGATTTCTTACAGTTTTTACATCTGGCTCAATCACACATTATAAATTACATTTTAAAATTGTCATTTTTCATGGATTAACATATTTTAATTGACACATAGTAACCCCACACATTTCTGGGGTGCACTTTAACACCTCTGGAGAGGTGTGTAGTGATCAGATCAGGGTGTGCGGGCCACTCACAGCACCATGGTGAATACAAGTTGCCACAGTGCACATCCCCGTCTTGTCCCAAAGCTTTCATGGAGTTCCTTCAGGGTTGCCCTCCTGGGTATGATGTAGTTTTAGGATTTTCACAGACACGCTGTATTAGGTGAAGAGAGTTCTACTTTATTCTTAATCACTTTTTTTTAAAAAAAAAATAAGGAATGGTTGATAGATTTCATCAAATGCTCTTTGTCTACTAAAATGACGACATGGTTTTATTTTTCCTTTGTTTATGTGGAATATTGCATTGATTGATTTCAAATGAGAAGCTGAGTGCACTCCTGGGATAAATTCCACATAGTCATGATGGTTTTCTTTTATGTATTATTGTATTTGATTTGCTAAACTTGGGAATTTTTTGCATCTATGTACATGAGGGGCATTTGTTAGTTGTTTTTTCTCCTATCTTTGGTTTTGTTATCAGAATTATGCTGGCATCAGAGAAAGAGCTGGAAGTATTCTCTTATTTTCACATTTCAGGAAGAATTTGTATAGAATGGGTATCGAAATGGCATGATTTCTTTCTTAAACTTTTACAAGATAATTTCTGTCTGGAGTTTTCTTTGTGGGTCTGACGTTTTCTTTGCAAAAAGGCTGTAACTACGAATTGGGTTTTGTTGATAGACACAGGGGCATTCAGTGATCCCCACAAGTAGCTTTTGTGGTTTGTATCTTTTAGTTGATTTTTCTGTTTTCCCTAAGTTGTCAAATGTATTGGCATGAAGTTGTTTATAATGTCCCCTGAGATTCTTCTAATATCCAAAGACTCTACAGCAATGTCATTTCTGTTATCCCTAACATTGTTCACTTGTGTCTTCTCCCTTTTGGTCCCCATGGTCTTCTCAAAGAATCTGCTGCTGGTTTCATTGTTTGATGATCTTTCTTGGTCAATTTCTGCTTTTCATTATGTGAATTTTAATCTCATCTTCATTCTTTCCTGTCTGCTGCTTCCTGTGGTTGTGTTTGCTCCTCTTTCTCCAGTTTTATGAAGTAGAATCTGAGATCATTGATGTGAAGATGCTCCTCCTTTCTCAGGCAAGTCATCCTGTGAATTTCTCTCTTTATACTCCTCACCTGCATCCCACAGATTTTGAAATTTTGAAAATTTGAACTTAATTTAGTTGAAAATACTTTTCATTTTCCTTTCTCCATCCTGTGGGTTATTTAGAAGTATGTTATCCAATTTTTAAACATTTTGGGTTTTCCAGAATATCTTTTTGTTTATTTAAAATTTAACTCCATTTAATTATAATAATTAATTTCTTGATGTTTATCATCTAAATATCATTTATTTTGGAAAATGTTCTGTTTAACAAAAGCACTAAAAATGTTCTTATTTTTATGATTGATGGAGTGTTCTATAAATGTTGATCCTTATTGATTTTTTTGTGTGATTATGAATTGTTGAGAGTTCAGTATTGAATTATCTAACTGCAATTGAATATTTCTTTACAATTCTTTTGTTTACATTTTGATTTCTTAGAATAATGTATTTTTGCTTTTAGGTATGTAAGTGTTTTGGATTATTATGTCTACGTAATTACCCTTGTGCCTTAATGTTTAAAGTGGGTTTCTTGTAGGCAGCAGTTATTTGAGTCTTGCTTTTTATCCAATCTGACAATCTCTGTCTTTTCATTTGGGATATTTAGAACATTTACATTTATTTTAATGTGGTTAAATTGTTCCCTTAACTATTTATTTTTCTCATCTGTTCTTTTTCTACATCCCCCTTTGCCTTCTTTTGGATTAAGTATTTCTTATAATCTCATTTTATTTCCATTTTTGGTTCATTATATAAGTCTTTGTTATGTTAGAAGTTGCTTTAGAGTTTATACAATACATTTTCACCATATCACAGTTTACTTGTGTGATATTTCATGACTTTGTGTATACAGGAAACTTAAAACTGTATTCAAAAGTTTTTCCCTTTCAAGTCTTTGTGCTAATGTTGTCATACATTTTTATTTTTTGTGTGTTCAACAGTTGATTTTTGTATTCAACACTTGATTATCAAAGAAACTTAAATAACAAAGATATTTTAAATATTTATTTACATAGCTACAATTTCCCATTCATTTTTTTTCCTTCAGTTAGATTTAAAATTTTATCTGGTATCATTTTTTTCCTTGAAGTATTCCTTTAACATTTCTTGAGGTGCAGAACTGAATTCTATCACAATGCATTCTAAAATGCATATCTAATTGAATTTTGGACAATATTTTTGCTGCCTATGGGATTCTGACAGCTTTTGTTTTTCTGTTCTTTATGATGTTGCTTCATTGCCTTTGGCTTACATTGTTTCTAGTGAGAAATCTGTGGCATGTGATGTGTCTTTTTTCTCTGGTTTCTTCTCAGATTTCCTGTTTATCATTTGTTGTAAGCAATTTAATTATCATGTACCTTGATGCTGTCTTCTTCACCTTTCTCAAGCTATATTGAGCTATTTGGATCTATGAGTATGTAGCTTTTACCAAATTTGGAAAATTTCTATTACTCTTTAGTTATTTTTCTGTCTCACTTTTTCATATTTAGGGACTCAGATTAGACATGTGTTAGGCTGACTATAATCGTCTCACACCTCACTGAACCTCTGTTCATTTTTTTCATTCTTTTTATTTCTGTTTCATTTTTGCTAATTACTATGTTAATAAGCTCACTAATCTTTTTGCAGTGTTAATATATAATAACATATGCTTATATTTATAGAAGCAACATATATATACATACATGTATATACATATGTGGGTATGTATATATTTAATTGTCATGTCATATATATGTTGCTTCTTATCTGAGGGTAAATTTATCCTCTGACATTACATCCCTGATAGAGAGACAGAGGATTCTAAAAATATTTTAACGCTTTGTTCTGAGCTATAGTTAGTTTGCTTGGAAATAGTTTGGTATTTTCCAGTCTGGCATTTACACTGTGTTAGGCCAATCATTACAGCATTTATTTTAATTTTGGGCTGAGTTTTCCCCACCAATGAAGGAAGAGTCTTCTAGGAATTCTAGCTGATGACCCACTAGAGGGAAAGAAAATAGCCTTTATTTTTCAAGTCCACTCTCTCCTTCCCACCTAGCCCTGCCTCCATCTGGCCTTCCTATCCCACATCAACACCCAACACTTTTCCCTAATTACAGTGCTTTACAGATGTTGAAGAACCAACTACACTACACCAGAATTTCTTGACAATGCCAGGAAGATTTTTTAAAATCACATTTTAGAAAGTGAAGCTATAGATCTAGAGATGGGATGTAGAAATTCCCAGACATTCCGTCTTCCTGGGACTCCCCAGGAGAATTATTAGGGGCCGATTCTTAATAACTTCAGCAGGTGGGATGAGCCCTTCTTACCGTTCTGCCACTTGGCAATGCAGAGCAGGTGGTGCAGTCCCATGGAGGCCTGGTTCATGATGTCACTGTCAGCATGACAACACAGGAGAGACAGCTCTGCAGCCAGGACACCCAGACACCGGGCGTCCACGCTCGTCTAATGGAGAAGGGAGGGAGAAAATCGTTGGTTATGCCAAGTCAACACTGAATGTCTGCATCCGAGACTCTCATTTACGGAACGGGTTTCAAGGATAAGCCTCAGAATTTTAAAAATCTGTCCTCAAATCCTCTGTTGCTGTGAAAGGAAGACAAGAAAATGCCATCTGTGTTAGTTACATGAGCACAGAGGGGGATGTTCATGACCGAAAGAGCCCGGGAAAGTGCTGGACAAGAGTGCTCAACTGAGGTTAGCTTCTACTCCATGACTAGGGAGCGGCTGGCAGGGAGCAGATCCCCGGGACAGTCGGGAGCAGGAGGATGTGGTCATCCAAACTCTTGGAAGCTCCCTTTTCCGGTGTGAAATGCTTTAGATGACTCAGAGTCACTGGGGAAATGTGATGTTACTCCTCCTGGAATTACTCCGATTCTTCCCAGAGAAAGTCATGTTTTAAAAACTCAAACTTTCTTCAAAGCTGTTGCCATGAACATTAGTTCATGCCTTGCCCCGACAAGCTCTTTGACACACAGGCTCATCCGACTCTTGAAACCTGTGATTTTTTAAAATTATTTTTTTGCATTTTTTATTATGGCAAATTTATACATGATATGAAATTTGCCATTTTGGCCATTTTAAAGTGAATAATTTAGTTGGCAGTAAGTACCCTGCTAATGCTGTGCAACCCTTGCCATTACCTCATTCCAGAACTTTCCATCGCCTCAGATAGAAGCCCTCTGCCATGAAGCAGTGACTGATGGTCCCTCCTCCTGGCCCGACAGCTGGTGTCTCTCAGGGTTCGCTTGTTGCCTAGTACACACACAGGGGATCGTATAACACACAGCCTTCTCTTGGGTCGGCTTCTTTTACTTAGTATGAGGTGTTCACGCTTTGGCCATGGGGAAGTGTATCACACCCCCACTTGACAGGGTAACGTGCCTTTGTATGAGGACGTCAGGTTTGTTGGTCCATCTGTCTATCGATGGGCATTTGGGTTGTTTCCGTTCTTGGCAATTTGAATTTTGCTGCAGTAAACACTTATGGACAAGTTTTTGTTTGAACATCTGTTTTATGTTTTTGGGGGGGTGGGGGTTGTGCCTAGCAGGACTGCTTGGCCACGTGGTAATTTGGTGTTGAACTTGTTGAAGAACCCTTTCCCTGTTCTCTGCACTTTCATCCATATTGTGATCAGTAATTCCTTTAAGGATTTTAGTGCTTGGTCTTCGAGTGATCTTAAAAATTGAAAATCAATAATATGGTCTGGTGACTAAGTAATGTTGTTCAACGCATAGTTCACTCTCGGGTTAGTTATATTTCCTTTTGGCATATACATGTGCCTTCTCCACTCTTTTTGAAAATAAATTCTCATCTGTGTCTTGAATTATCTGCTTTTGATAGTCATTTTCCCCCCTTTTTATTTGCCTTTGCAGGTCTTTTAATTGAAGGGTTTTCTCAAATGTCTGGCAAATTTTGATGTCTCTTCATATTTGAGGACAAAGTGCCTCTTGGTGGGGCTTTGTCTGTAGCAAGGCTTGCCAGTGGTGTACCTTGCTTCACCGTGGCTGGGAGTGGAGGCTGGGGTCCTCCTTCAGTGTTTAAACAAAATGCATGATTCTTTTATCAGAGAACTTAACAATGGTTTTTGTGTTAGTCAGTTCTTCATCACTGTGACTAAGATACCTGATGAGAACAACTTAGAGGAGAAAACAATTATGGGATTCACAGTTTCAGAGGTTTCCATCCAGGGTCAGTCGACTCCATTTCTCTGGGCCAGAGGCGATGTTGGTATGGTGGGGCAGAGGCAAGCTTCTCAGCTGAAAAGGAGAGTTGGGGACGGGGGCAGGGACAGACACAGTCCCCGGGCCTTGCCCCCAGGGTCCTCCCCTGCCTGCAGTTACCACTGCATTCAGCTACCCACAGGTGAATCCAGCAAATGGATTAGCCCACTGCTGAGGTCAGAGCCCTGATGAGAGTCTTGACCCACCTCTGAACCTCGCTGCCCTGGGGTCACACTATCAACCTGCGAGCGCTCCACAGCCAAACCGCAGAAGATTTGGGGGAAAGAAAGAAAGAAAAAAAGAAGGCGGCAGTTCTCAAGTTCCGTCTGCTGATGAACTCCTTGTGCATCAAGGGGAAGGGGCACTGAGCCTTCTTACTGTGCTAGTTGAGCTTTCAAAGACTGCTCAGTTATGTGCCTGCACTCAGCCCCCCCTTGACCCCTCGCTTCACACGCTCCCTTCTTCATTGCTTGGGATTTTGCAGCTCCAGACCCCACCCTAGTGGTCCTGGCTTCCTGCTTTGGTTCCGTGGACAGACTTTTCTATTCCCATCTTTCTCTCCTCTGTCTTCCAGAAGTTTGCTGGCATTGCTGGCCCACTGAAAAGCCTTCACCAAGCCTCTTTGTGGATGCGACTTTAGACTTTAAAACTTTCTGTTACTATCACTTCGTGAGGACTCTGGAGGGAGAGGAGATAAATACACAGGGACCACCTGTTAAATAATTAAATTAAATAATTGGGACTCTTCCATCCATTTCTAAATGCTAATGTGCCAAAGGAGCACGGGTAGAAGCATTCTCTGTGAATGCAACAAGATGATGTGCTTAGCTCACACTTCTCTTCCTGTTGAAAGCTGATACTTCAATTAAAGGGATGAATAACCTTTGAGTGTAGGAGTTTATCTACCCTGATGGGCACATGGGTTATGTGAGGGGAATTATCACTTTAATAACATATTTCTGACAAAATACAATGATAATCGGAAGTCTTTGCTAGGACAGGAGCCTCTGAGGCTGAGCAGGACCTAGGCAGGATGATTTATGAAGAAAATGTTTTTTTCCATTGTATGGATAGCACGAGAGGACAGAATAGGTAGCTATTTAATTAGAGCAGGACAAAAAAATTAATTGCCTGTTTTATGTCAGACATAGTGATACAGAGGTCAGGCCCGTGGAAGCTCAGCTTTAAATCATTTACGATATTTTTGAGATTGTTTTGTCCTATAATCCCCTCGTCCAATAATCTCACTGAATTAATTATTTTGTTATTTTATTTAAAAAAATTTTTTTAGTTGTAGGTGGACACAATACCTTTATTGTTATTTATTTTATATTTATGTGGTACTGAGGATCGAACCCAGGGCCTCACCCATGCTAAGCAAGCACTGTACCTCTGAACCACAATCCAAGCCCCAGAATTAATTATTTTCAGAAGACATTACTTTAATAAGAAAGCTTCCTTAATGAAGTTTATGCTTCCATGACTGTGGTGAGCTGGCTGAGTCTAGCTGTTTCAATGTTCTCAAAAATGTGCTCATGTACTTCCACCTGGTGGCACTTGGTGAACACTGCAGAGCAGAGTGGCGGATAATCCTACCTGGTCTTTCATACAAACCTGTTAAAGCAAGAAATCCTCAAATAATGCATGAGAGTCTTCTGCTACACACCTGAATTTACACATTTGATTTCTTGTGGATGGAGAGAGGTCTGGGCTCAGGGGCAATGAACCCAACTAGCAATGGAAAGACAAGAGGGAGGGGTGCTAAGCCCTTGCTACAAAGCCCCACCTGCTGCCTAAGCCCATGCTAGGATGCAGGCATCCAAATGCAGAGAGAGGCATGCAAATAGCCCTCTTCACATAGTTGGCATCAAATACTTGCTAAGTGCATATTGTCCCAGGAGCTGTGCAGAGAACAGATGTGAGTGGTACTTAATCCCACTTGCAAGATTTTCCATGCTGAGCCTTCTAGATATTTGTATAGAACCGCAGGCCATTTTAGAAGTGAGGGTGTTGGGGGGCAGGGCTGCCTTCCCAAATCAGAGAATCAGGATTAGACAAGCCACTGAATCTCTCTTTGGGTGCTGAAATAGGGGATCAGCACGATGAAAACACTGTGGACTGTGCTCCCCTGTATAAGTAAATTCTATCACGCTCCCAGCTGGCTTTAAACAAAGTCGTAACAATTCAGCTGTTTTAAAGGCTGGTCTAGATATTTTTGTTTTGATATGTCTGGGGTTTATACAAGTACGAGAAAATGGACATGAGGAGCATCCCAAATGTTTATTTCCAACTCCCTTTACACGTAACTACTCCTGAAATGATTCAAGTCATCAGAAAAACTGTTAGTAGAGTATATTTTAAAATCCCTGCAACATGAGTTGGGAAACAGACTGAATATACAGTATCCACAAGAGAGAAACGTTATTACATTATTTTTGTCCAATGTGACATTTTGATATATGCACACACTGTTAAATGATTAAATCAAGCTAACCAATGTAATCCATCTTTTCACATATCATTTTTTTTATGGTGAGAACATTTTAAGATCTATTTTTTTTGCAATTTTCAAGTACAAAATGCATTATGATTAACCATAGTCAACGTGCTATATACTATTAGCGCTCCAAAATTTATTCATCCGTCTAACTGAAGCTTCAGACCCTCTAATGAACACGTCTTGCATTCCTCCACCCCCACCGCCTCCAGCTCCTGGTGACCACTGTTCCACTCTGTGTGATGAGTTTGACTCCCTCAGGGTGTGTGTGTGAGGACAGCAGGCAGGGATTGTCTGTCTATGCTGTGCCTAGCCGAGTTCATGCCATACAGTGTCCTCTGGGGTCAGTTGTATTTTTTGCAATGACGGAATTTTCTTCTCTATTATGACTAAGAGTACTTGGGGGATGGGTGGGTGGGTGGGTGGGTGGTGCCCACATACCCTTGTGGCCTTTATCCATTCTTCCATTAGTGGGCATTAGGTCAATTCTACATCTTGGCTATTGTTGATAATGGATAAGTAAATCTTATGTTAAAACCAAAAGAAGAGCTTTGTAAACCAGACCTTTCCAAAAATAAATAATAACTTTATACATTTGAATATAGGCATATAAGATAGAAAGATAGATAGATAGATAGATAGATAGATAGATAGATAGATCCTGTTGATTAAAGAAAGTAAGATAGATCCTGTTGATTAAAGAAAGTAGTGGTAGCAATGTGCTCAGATGAGGCCCTTTCTGAGAATAAATGATTATGTAAGTCTAGAAGACCCTGGCATTTATGAAGGTGTGGGAGATGGGCATTCTTATAGTCACAGGAACACAGATTGGAGGACAGTGGTGCGTTCCTAAACTCTGACCTCCCCCACGTCTATCTAGCCATTGCCTCCCTAAGCTGAACTAAGTACATACAGATTTGCATGAACATAACCAATTTTTACTGTTTGAAGTTGAAAAACACCATTGGACTCATCAATGGATTCAGTGGATTGTAATATTCAAGAATGCACAGACTATGTTTGAAAGAATGAAATTACGCTGCATATATTAATATGAAAATATGAGCAGGGCATGTTGTCCAGGGAAGAAAGCAAGTTGCAGCACTTGATGTAACTTCTTTAAAGAAGCAGGAGGGCATCCATGCGTGCATGCGTGCACACAAGGATGTAGACAAAGAAAGCGGTTTGGGTGGACACATGTCACACCAACAGGCTGGGAATGTGGGTGAAGAGGAAAGGAAAGGAAGACTTATGCTCCAATAATTGCTTGTATAAATTTAAAATAGACAATGATTCACAAATATTTTCGGAAAATAAAAGGAGAACATAAAGAGGAAGATAAGGGTGGAAAATAATATTCATTATGGTCCATAGAGGAGAATCCAGAGTCAGCAAAACCTGGTACCAACATGCTCATGCTGTTTCTCTAATAATGCTTCTTCACCAGTTTTTGAGAAATTCTGCTCCCATGACTTAAAGCCATGCAGAATGTTGACTTCTTTCCAGATACTGCAGAGTGCAAACCCAGTAATACCAAGCAGACACCCAGCACCCTCAAGACCTCAGACATGGCAGGCAGCACCCTGGAAAGGCAGTCTTCAGAACCGGGCCATTGTTCATTGTGTGACTTACATCTCCTAGGACTTTCTTAGATGCAAAGCATAGCACCCTGCTGATGATCGTCAGTGCTTCCTCTTGCAGGTACAAACGCTCTTCTTTCACCCACAAAACCATTTCCTGTTGGAAAAACAAGAGCCATCTTAGAACCATGGAATTTCCATTTCCTAAGGAGCCCTCCTTCTAGTCACCAGTTTGGGGGTCCCATGGTCTTTTGATTAATCCACGCTTGACCTATGTTATCTTAAAAAAAAAAAGGACAACAAACAGCCAGTGTACTACTTCATCTACTATGGTAACTACATGTGGTTTTTATTTTATTTAATTCTATTCAACAAGTGACTAATAAACACTGTAGCAGTCCTTCTGTCAGGTATCGTGAAAGTTCGGCATGGGTCTGTACGTGGTCATCAGCTGCTCTACTTACAAATATTTCTTTTTTTAAAGTACAAATATTCTAAGTACACATATTCCTTAAAAAGAATATGGACTCTGATCTTTGGCTTTAAAAGAGAACTGAAATGTTATCTGATCAGAAATGTTATCTTTTCTTATCTTCATGGATACCAATTCCTCTGCAAATTCACTATCCAGAAATGTTCTGATCCTTGGTTAGAGAATACATTAGTGGAGGCAGTTTAGTTAGAAAATTGTTGCTAATTTTTGTTCAAATCTGTCTTTTAGTACCTTCTCTTTGTTCTAAATCCCAAGAGCAGGGATGGATGCATTTCCCCCTGGGAAGGGAATAGACTGCACATGCTAATGAGCCCTAGCAAACTTCTTAGGCCACCTGTTGGAGGCCACTGTACTTCTGCCAATGGTTGGCCAATCTGTTCCTCTTCATCTCTGCCAAGCGGCACACTGTTCTGAAGTCCATTTCCTAAGGCAGAAGGGTTTCTAAATCTCAGAGGGGTCACACTCTGCCTTCTCTGGGAGTGAGGTTTCAGCTCTTTTTGAGGATCAGGGAGTTCCCAGACATAAGGAACCTCCCAAGTTGTGGTGGCTTCACCCCAATAGCATTGCTTCTGTTCTTTTTCTCCAAAATGGAAGAAATAATAGTAGCTTCCTCATGGGATGATTTGAGGGATTACAATATTTACTCACATCCTCGGTACCCAACATGAAATGCTCAATAAGAGGAAGCGGAGAGCAGCCTGGGGCAGTTCACAGGACATGCAGGGGGAGGGGAATGATAATCACTTAGGAGAATAACATTTCAAATGCACAGAAATATTTGGCTCAAATTCAGCACAAATTAGCTCAATCCATTTTTACTTTCCTTCACATTCTTTCTTGTCTTCAAGGATACCAATCTGTCTTCTTTACTTTGGTTTGCACAACTCATGGATGTTTCTGGTAGGGTAAGTCAATGTATTCCCAGTATTTTTAGACAGCTGACTCCTGACACCACCATATTAGGAATGCAAAATTTAAGAACCTAAAACATCCAGTGCAGTCTTCTCTGGCTGGGACATGAATCATGCGGTGAGGTCTGTGGACAATAGGGGTTCTACTTGTACAACTATACTAGGCTCTGCCCTCACAGGGGCTCTCTGCAATGGTCTGCTACTGGGACAAGTCTCTGCCTGGCTGTGACATCTTTTGAAATCTAAGTAGAGGCCACCATGCTTCTGCATTGGTGGCATGAGGCACACAGCTCATGCATTCTGTGTGCTTGCAGAGTTAGCACTGTGCATGCTGCCAAGGCTCATGGTTTGGAACTCCCAGAGCAGTGGGTGGAGCCACACCTGAGCCTCCCTGAGTCATGGCCAAAGCAGGCAAGGGGTGCTGTGCTGAATGAAATTCAGGGCCAAGTCACCAGCTGGTACAGAGGAGAAAATACTGAGGTTCTATGGGTACCTCTCTTGAAACCTTGCCCTTAAGGTCCTAGCTTACCTCTGAAATGCCTTCAAGGTCACTCCCCCATTGTATTGATGACCAGAACCTGGTTTTCATGCATGTTTAACTCTTGAGCATATGGTCCCTTAGCAACACGTACCCTTAATGTTCTCTCTCAAACTTGTTTTTTTTTTTTTTTTAATTCTTTACATGTTCAGGCCAAGAGTTCCCCAGATGTTTTCATTCTGCATCTCCTTGATTATAAATTTCACCTTTTAAGTCCCTTTTCTCATTTTACTGCAAGCTATCAAAAGAAGCCATGGGGCACCTTGAGCTCTATGCTAAGTAGAGATTTCTTCTCTCAGGTGTCCTCGTTCATCATTAAGTTCTGCCTTCCAAAAAGTCCTAGAATGCAGACATGGTTCCTCCAAGTTCTCTGAAACTGTGTAGCAAGGGTGACCTTCACTCCTGTTTCCAGTGTCTTGTGCCTCATTTCTCTCTGAGGCCTCTCGAGAATGGCCTGCATTCTGATCACAGCCACTTACGTTTTCCCTGAGAAGACTTAGGCTTTCCCTACGGCTCTTGTCTTCTGCTGGCTCCTCAGCACAATGGCCTTTAGTGCTCCATTCACACCATCTGGCTCTTCCAGCCTCGTTACCCAGTTCCAGAACAGTTTTCACATCTTACATAAGAATTTACCAAATATATACAGTATTGTATCTGGGTGTCCTGAGTTCTTCCCATAAACTGAAGGTAAAAAAGGGAGTGAGGTGGCTATGTGGATAAAGTGTCACCCAATACCAAGCCACAAATGGCTTCTTTAGCTTAGAGATAAATTGCATTGGGTAGCAATGCTGAGAAAATAGTCTTTAGGTATTGGTTAGAGGGACAGTCTCACTTTTTGCTATTAATTTTGTCTATTAGTCCAAGTGTTTTTATAACAGAATATCTGAGGCTGGGTAATTTATAAAGAATAAATAGGGATATTTATTTTTTACAGTACTGGAGGCTGGAAGTCCATCAATATCTTCAAGAAGTCCTCATCAATTGAAGGACATTGTGCTGCATCATTGCAGAGAAGAAGGGGAAGAAAGCCCCCAGGAAAGAAGAGGGGAGGGGGCAAATTCATCATTTATAGAGGACCCTCTTCCATGATAATGACATTCATCCAATCATGAGGGAAGAGTCCTCACGATCTAGTCAACTCGTAAAAGGTATCACCGTGCAATACTGTTGCATTGGGGATTAAGATCTTGACAGATGGACTGTGGGGGACATTAGAGGACATATCGAAGCCACAGAATATGGTATGCATAAGGACAGAGGATCTGTTGAGTTGCCTCACCCCAGAACTGATGGAAGTGAAATGTCCTTCCAGCCCTGTCACCGTGTGGTCCACTGTCCTGTGGACTTGGAGGCAGTTGAGGCCAATACTGGTCTCTGCTATCCTAGCCTGTGTTCACCCATAGTCACCACCTAAGACTTGCCTTCTCAGGTGGCCATTGATGGCTCCTCCCCAAATTGATTTCTACACTTCTATAACTCAAACAAAGGGAATGATTTTGTTTTGTGAGTAATTTCACTCCACAAGAAGCAAATTCCAGTCACCAAATACTAGAAGAATATATAAATATGATAAATTAGAAGTCAGTGAACTATAGTGAGCTCTTTATATTTATGACAAACAAAACTGCTTATTTCCTCTTACCCTTAGGATCTGTAGTTTGTAGAGGTCTTTAGACACTAAGATCAGAAGAGTGTCCTCAAATATGTGTAAAATATTTTGATATAAACTCTGAAATACAAAAAAAAATCACATAACCAGCCAGCAGTCTTACATAAGAATTTACCAAATACATACAGTATAGCATCTGGGTGTCCTGAGTTCTCCCCATAAACTGAAGGTAAAAAAAGGAGTGAGGTGGTTATGTGGATAAAGTCTCACCCAATACCAAGCCACAAATGGCTTCTTTAGCTTAGAGATAAATTGCATTGGGTAGCAATGCTGAGAAAATAGAGACCTCAGGTGTTCCTAACCTTACGATGGGACTCTACTTATTTTCATCTATTGTTTTATTTTTTGGGGGGGCAATACTTTTCATTAAACTCCTTGCCCTTGTGAAACCAGTTTTGACCAAAAATACCTTCACTGATTTGTTTCTATAACCCCTATATAATCCACTAAATCCCATGGGTCACAGAATTCACGAGGAGTTTAGGGGTGTAGGTTAGTGCTGAAGAATTTCATTATATGTAAGTAGGGGAGAAGCAAACAAAGACTGAAACCTTCCAAGATGCATTCTCAGCTCCACTGTGGTGCAGAGCAAAGTCTCAACACAAGTGAAGGAAGAAGGGTCTCACCTCCTGGTCCTCGAGGTCCTCATTGCCAATCCCCAGTGCTCTCAACTTTCCAAAGTTTGGTAGGGCTAATAGCATTCTAAAGGATGCTTCAGTTACGTTCAGCTGAGTTTCATACTGCAGTACGGGATCCACAAAGCTGACAAGAAAAAGGTCTAACTATTAAATGGGTGAGATTTCAAATGTAATTTAACTTTATGGGCTTTTTTTCTTAATGATGAGAGAGGGTGTACGAGAAAGTAAAACCCAGATGATAGATGGATCTTAAATATTCTCTTAGCAATGATGGCTTAAACACTAAGGAATAAATTTATTCATAAATATAATCTACATTAAGTTATTTAGAAATTGGAACATCTTTCTCCATGAACTCAATAATGTAAAGACCGAGCCCATAAACTCACACTAAGGTTTGAGATCATTTAACTGTATGGTGCCATTATTTCCATGTTTTTTTATATTTTAATATTTTTGATATGGGCATACATATTTCAAGGTGACAACAAAGGAAAACTGCCCATCCTCAACTAGAAAGACCATCTGCTTATCCATGTGATATAGAAAGATTGGGGAGAGCGTAAGAAAGAAGAGTTGCTAAATCAGGATGATGGAATTTTGAGTCAATTTTTATTTCTCACAATTATTATTTTTTTTTAATATGCCATTTCAAAGATATTCAATTAGTGAAATCAGAGAGTGTCACGTTACCTGGAGTTGATGGCCAGGACCATGGACTGATGACACAGCAGGCCCGCAAAGGCATTCCATAGTTCATTAATTGCATTCTCCTAAGTACCATGAAAAACACAAGCAATTACAAACCAGACAACATCCTGTGTGGTCCTGCTGCACCAAGCCAAGGCACCAAAACAGACTAAAAAGTCATCCCAAGAGTTTGTAGAAGTATCGAGACTAGAAAAACTATAATTTCATCCCCCAGTAGTGTTTTGGCCTAGATGGTGGTCTGTACAGCCAACCACTGTGCTTTTACAGTGAGCATTTGCAGATAGCAGTATTTTGTTGGGGGTGCTCTTTACCAGGTGTGCTCTCACATACTTCTGTAACTGTCAAGTGCAATCTACAGTTGTAGCGTCTACCTATAAAAATGCCAGCACGGCAATTTAAGACAGGCCTTCCTGAAGAATGACCACATTCATGCCATAGAGTAAGAATCATATCCAGGTCAATGGGCGGCTGTATAACTTAATTTTGTAACCATTAAAAGTTGTAATTAAAGATACCCAATTAGGAATTTATAATTTTTATACGAAGTTTGAGAAGTCCTCAATTATCTAAAACCATTTAGAGAAGGAAGAATAAAAGCTGGGGACGTCATACTTTCTATTTTCAAACTCTACTATCAAGCTGCAGTAACTAGAATGGTATAGCTGGGTATTAAAACAGACTCATAGGCAACACAGCATTGAGGGCCCAGAGATAAACCCGCCCATAGGTGGTGGGTGCCAGGAGCACACACTGGGGAAAGGATGTGCTCCCAGGAATCGGTGTCTGGGGGGTCACGTTGTCCACACGCAGAGGAGTGAGCTTGGACACTTACCTTATGCCACCTGCAAAAGTTAAATGGGTGGGCTAAAGGCTTATGTGTAAGACGAAGACTATAAAACTCCTAATAGATGACTGGAAAAAGCTTCTTATTGTTGGTTTTGACATTGATATTTTTTGGAGGGGAGGTGATGCCAAAAGCATAAGCAACAAAAACGAAAATAAACAAAGATTTTTTTTTTTATCAAACTAAAGTTTCTGCAAAAAAAAAATGGGTCAAAAGATAAAAAGGTAATCTGTGGAATGGGATAAGATATTTGCAGGCCATATATCTGATAAAGGGTTATTACCCCCCAATATATACCTCCACCTCCAGGTACACGAGGAAGGGCTCCTACTTCCTCTTGGAATGGCTCCACAGTGCCCTGTCCCTCTTCTTTGACAACCCCCTCACCCACCTTTCCCTGCTAGGTGGCTGTCTCCCTTACAGATTATTCTGATTTCAAGGATTTCCCATGTCTTTGGGCAATTAAAACAACCCCAGGGTTATTGTTAATTATAATCCTGTTTATATAAAATCTTAACCTTCATAACTTATTATTATTTCTAATTTTTATTAGTTATTGATGGACCTTACTTATTTATTTGTTTATATGTGGCGCCTCACAGGCTAGGCAATGCTCTACCACTGAGCCACAACCTCAGCCCCGTAACTTATTATTCAAAGGTCTTTATTGATCTCCAGGGCAGGCAAGAGTTTGGGTTTCAGGGTCAACACAGGAGGGTGGTTAGGCTGCCAGTCCTGGGGCTGCCACTTGTGGTTACCTGACCACAGGCAGGTCACCTACGGCCTGAGTTTCCTCATTTAAAAATGGGGATAGCAGCAGAACTTACCCCAGAGGGATCTTGTGAGGGTCAAAGGAGCTCAGCTATTTTTTGGAACAAGGAAGGTTATTCCTTCCCTCATCTTCCCTGCCTTTTTTCTAGGGTTGCAGCTCTAGAACTGGAAAAAAATGTGTGTGTGTGTGTGTGTGTGTGTGTGTGTGTGTGTGTGCGCGCGCGATTTCTTGCTTCCTTCCTGTGGGTTGTGACTTCCGACTCTGCAGGTGGTGGCCACGACATTCCGGTTGACCAGGAATGTGCTCCCTCAGGAAAGGGTCCCTTTCAAGACCCAGCTATGTGTTTGGGGCAGTTCCCGCTGTTCCTGGTTTTTAAGCTTTGGAAGCACAAGCCCACTTGATGCGTGCGTGCGCAGGGCTCCCCAGCAGCCCGCTGCCCAGGTCCATCAGCCCTGCGCCTGCTCGCCTGTGAAGGGTCTGTCACTCTGCACCTCCCCTGTTGTTGGAGCAATTCAATTCCCTTGGTGCAGCTGGTCCCACAGCTCGGCCCTCTCAGCAAACCCAAAGGAACCTTCACGACCGGGTCTGTGCCCACGACCCATCCACAGCTCCTAGCACCCCCACAGAGGTCCGTTATGGACGCTATGCAATCTCTGTCTGCACCAGCCCTCTCCACCTCAGGACTGAAACGCTGTTTCCCCAGCAGCTGGGAGTGTTGGGACCTGAGAGCTCTCTCTGGTCTGAAACTTCCCCCAGTCAATTGTCCTCTCTGGCAACCTGACTCTGATGCCTGGGTGACATAAAGGCTCAGCCCCTTTGCCTCCAAGGGCAAAGCGAAGGTCACCTCAGCTCCAAAGCTCCTGTGGGGGTAGTTGAAGCCTGCTTTGCACTTCCCTGTATTTCAGCTCCTCGCCCTGCAAGCCTGCCTTCTCTACCCCTCCTCCCCAGGAACTGATCCCAGGAGCAAATCCAGCAAATCTCCTGGACGCAAGTCTCTATCTTAGCATCTACTTCTGAAGAATCATACCTAAAATCTACAATGTATGTTGCTGGTTTCTTTCCCTGGGCCTTCCCAGGTTCCTTCCCTGGAATGTACTTGACCCTCATCTGGGTGCTCCACTCATCCTCAAAGTCCAGCCAGGTCTTCCCTAACCTGAAGCTAAGTAGAAGCTCCCTCTAAGTAAGTGTACCTCTCTCACCCTGCCTCCTGTAACATCCCCGCAGCTTACAGCAATTTCTAATACTGACTTATTTTATTTTTCTTCCATTGGACTCTAAGCAATTTGAGGCTAATGTTTGAGTTCTACTTTGTGTCTCAAAATGATAGCATAATATTTGGCATATAGTAGATACTCAATAAATATTTTTTAAATAAATGAATGACTGAGTGAATGAAATGCTAAACTGTACATTTGGTCTCTAATGGTGTTAACAATTTGAAAGTGATGAAACATCACTGAACAGCAGGTTTTATTGTCAAGTGTCTTCCTATCCTGGCAGGCAAAGTGAACCTGTCCATCAAAAAAGTCATCAATGTTTTGTTTTAATTATCACTGACTTTGACCACAGACTCCTAAAGAAATGGTCTATACATGGTTTAACCCACATATGGGCCCATTCTTCTTTCTAAGGGAGAAAAATTGCATATCTTATGGTAGCTTTTCCCTGTGCCTTCTGTGTCAATTTAAACTTAAATATAAAAATGGTGGTAGGTTTTATCAAAGGCTCCAGATTTCAATCCATTTTTTACAAAGCTAGATAAATACCTACAGTGACAGTACTGTGTCACATTGTAGGGAACACAGAGAGAGGTAATCCCAATCTCTGTCCTCCAGGGATGACAGACAAGCAAACTGTCCAAAAGTCTAAGAAAAAAATACAGAATAAGATAAACAAAAAAGGAATGAAGCAAGTCGTGAGGCTGTCAAACTGGGGAGTGAGACCATCATTGAGGCTGGGCAGGGCCGAGCTGGCTGAGAGGGGTCCCCAGGATGGGAGCAAAGGATGTGAGACTGGGCGGGCCCTGGGAGATGGAGGGTGGGGGAATCGCAGGAGGGGTCAACACCTCAACGCTCTGCATTAGTGCGAAGCCACTTCCCGGCACAGTGGGCTGGAGAGAGCAGAGCTCTGCAGGGGGACCCAGGGCAAAGCCGGTCCAGCCAGCTTGCCTGTGTCCTTCCCCCCACTCATGCACCCGAAATGTTACTTGTAACATCCGTGTAAGAGTCAGCGAACGAGTTCTCCCTCGGGAGATCCCAGTTACCACGATGTCCTTAAGAACGTCACATACCAGGTGGTGCCACTTCATTTTGGACTGCAGAATCTGGAGGCCACTCACTGCCGGAGAGGAGGGGACTGGTTAACAGCAGCGAGCACAGCCCTCTCACCTCAGTGGGACTAACCCCCACCTGGAGGCTAGAGTCTCTCTCTCTCTCTCTCTCTCTCTCTCTCTCTCTCTCTCTCTCTCTCCCCTCTCTCTCTCTCACACACAAACACACAAACTCACACTCACACTCTGCTGATGAGCTCACTGTGGCTGTTACTGAACAACACTAAATAGAAAATATTTCAAAGATTTTAAATCTATACTTGATAACAATTCTTAAACAAACAGATATGTAGCTAATTTCTTGATATGAGAAACAGAAAGCCAGCCCCCCCTCTCCATGCCTTTATGGAAGTACCGTACAGTATTAGTAGAAAATAGAAGTACATTAAACTTGTTAGTTTCTAAATTTCTTTGTTTTGTGATCAGAGAATATGTCTGCTAGTCTACTGTTTGGAATTTATATAGAAATGTCTAGTCTAATACATGTTCACTCTTGTGAATGTCCTATAGGTATTGGGGACAAAGGTCTATTCCCTGTTTTCATGGATAAAGATTGACAGGTGGGTCCCTCTCTCTCTCTCTCTCCCACATGCATCTCTATCTTTCCCTGTTCTTCCTACAGCCTTACTTGATTTTCAACCCATCAATGCCATGCTGACAAAGGAGAATCAAATTCTTCTACTAAAAACTGCAAAACAATATTAGATATTTTATAAAAACATGGAAGTTTCCTATGATTTTATTTTGTCCTATCAATTTTGATGCTACTGTGTTTTATGCTGTGGCAATGGTATTATTTTTCTACTGCTGTGTATCAAGTTGCCACAAATTTCATGGCTTATAAAATACCCATTTATTATTGCTCAGCTTCTGTAGGTCAGAACGTTCCTTCTCAGCTTAGCCTCTGTGCTCAGGGCCTCACCCAGCAACACAAGGTATTAGCTGGGACGGCTCTCTCCTCGGGGGCTCAGGGTCCTCCTCCAAGACCATTAGGTTATTGGCAGAACTCGCTGCTCTGAGCCTGTCAGACAGAGGGCCCTGTTCTCTTGGTGGCCATGGCTGAGGGCACCAGTCAGCTCCTGAAAGCTGTCTACTGTTCCCTGCCTTCTCCTGCTACCACTGTCTGGTTTTTTTCCAACAGTCTAGACCCAGAATTAAGAGGCTCATATGATGAGCTCAGGCCCCCTGCAGATGATCTCTAAGACAACTGGTTAGCAGCCTTACTTAACTGGTTAGTAGCACCCCTTTGCCATTGCCTGCCATCATCTTCAGAGCCTCAGACCACATCTTTCCTCAGCTTTTTATCTTCAAGGAAGAGGGATTTGTATAAGGCATGAGTCTCAGGGCAGGGGCATTTGGGCCACCTTGGAATTCTTTTTACCAGGTAGATTTTTCGTAATTATCTTCATTATGGATTATGAACTTTCTTATTATGTGATGCTTTTATAGGAATCACATTTGATGCTTTAAACTTAATTCATATCCCGGAATTTGAGTCAGTCTGAATTAAGTTTCCCCAGTTCTGCTAACCTCTTGTTCTTCCACTTCTTATAGACTTCTCCCCATCTACTTATTTATAGCCTTTTGAGAGATTTGTGTTACCAGTATGTAGCATGTTGCTGGGTTTTATTAACAATGTAACCAAGTCCTTTCTCTTAATAGGTGAGTTCAATCCAATTTCACCCTCAGTTGTGTCTGTGTGTGGTGTGTTCATGTTTTCCTTTAATATGAAAGGTTTGTCCTCTTGTGACGGTGATAAGGTTGACTATAACTTTTTAGAATGTTTCTCAAAATCTTCAAAATCTGTTGATTCCCAACTGTGAGCAAAGATGGGATTGGTTCATTTCCTCCTGCCTCTTCTTTGAGCGATTTTAGTTGATTAAATTGCTAAGTGGCATTTTTATGTCTTTGTTCTCATTTTCATGGTTACTTAATCACTTCCAAGTTTCAGTGAAGAAGAAATCTGTGTGCTTACGTTACCTTCCCTCATAGCTTCTACTTCCTGTATAATTTTGTTAGTTAAGTCATGCATATACTTTCAAGGTTTTCAACATTTGCATTCAGCTTGGTGACAGTAACCTCCCCATCCTCTATGCCTTAGTGCTATGTTTAAATAGATCCAGGACATACAGCCAGGCTTTCTCTCTTCATCCTCATTGGGTTGAAATGCATCTTCTATTTTATTTCGGGGGGCTCCAGGGAATCACGTCCCTTGACTCCTTGTCATGTGCTAGATAGCTGGCTGTGCTTTTCTGAGTGAAAGTTTGGCCAGGGGTGACATCCTCAAGCCACCTTGTTCTCCTCTGGGGTTGTAGAGGCTGCTGCATGGCCACCTGGCCCTGCCCTGGGAAAGCCCAAGGTTAGGTGGGTTTCTTGTTGTCGCTGTTTTCTTCCATGAAGATTCACTGAAGCTTTTCTTTTTCCTGGATTTCCCAAGGATTCTTTGCTTATCTCTGAGATGATTGACCTTATAAGGGTGTAACTCTCCTTTGATGGTTTTGAGTTAATTTAGGGACATAGTCCATTATGCAATCTATATTTTCTTGGAAAGTTTCATTAGAATTTTACTTAAATTTGTGTTCTCTTCTGTCACTTTGGCCTCTTGGGTGATCTCTGCTCTAGGTCTTACCTTTGTGCTCCTTGCCAGGTTTTGAGCACTGCCTATTTCGGGGGGGGGGGTGCGGGGGGGTGCGGGGGGTGCGGTTTTCAGCAGAGCCTTTGTTTTTCTGAGAGTATTTTCCAATTCTCTTCTGAGTTGCACTAGCTCTTCCCTAAATTTTTGCAGCTCTACTTTGAGCTCACTTTATAGACAAAATTGGTCCATTCAATTTTTTTTTAAAGTACTTTTCTGCTTTTTTGACAATATTTTCCCAGAGTTCCTTAACTTCATTCATTTTAGGCCACTTTTCCACTTCTTTCTTGTGAACTCTTAGTTTAGATCCTTTTTACTGGTTACTTTTTTCTGGACAGGCGACTTCTAGTCGGACGCCTGTAGGTCTCTGTCAGAGTTTGATGTCCATTTGCTCTGTCGGCCCTGCGTAGCTTCTGGTGATCCTGCTGGTGATCCAGAGCTGCTGGGGCCTCGCCTCCTTCGCCCTGTGCCACTCGCCGACCACGGCTGGTCTGTGTAGTTTCCTCTCTCCAGGTTCACAGGCTTCTCCTGGGTTCAAAGTCAGAGCCCAAGGGGGTCCTTCAGGGTGCAGGTCCCATTCCCATTCCTCTGCCTGAGCGCCTTGTCCTGCCTTCTTCATGTTCTCGTCTCCCAAGAAGCCATCAGCTGTGTCTCCAGGAAAGAAAGTCTCTCTGGACCCAAATGTGAACAAAAGCCTTGATTGAGGCAGGTGGTGTTTCCCCAGGATTCAGCCCCAGTTCTTAGCTGGAGCACTTTTATTGCTATTTCCAAACTTTCCATATTCTGTTAAATGTATGTCAATGACCTTAGTCTCAGTTTGTTCTTTAAAATTCTCACAGGACTGAATGCCAAGGGATTTTAGGCTTAGGGTATTTCCCATATTACCATCTTAGCTATCCTTTTTATATATGTGATTTATTTAATAAGGTATGGTCTTTTTTTAAATTGATGTTTAAATTGTTTAATCTCGGGAGTTTTCCGGTAGCTGATTATCTCCTCTGTGTCTCTATTCATTGAGATCTAGCCTCAGTGAGGAGGATGATGTGTTCTCTGGAGGGAAATGCAATTTCAGATCTGAGTGGGTTGGAGTGAAATAGCACTTTGATGGGTACCAACTGATAGGTGGTGTAGAGAGCCAGAGTGACCTTAGTGCCCCGAATGCCTGCTGGGTAGGCAAGACGTGGTCAGAAGGTGGGAGAGAACATAGACCTCGCCAAGGTTGATGCTGTGTGTTGTCTTGACCCCAGATTCTCTATATTGGATTAGACATATTTCTGGCTGTGCCTGGGAGGACTAGTTGGGGCAAGAGTGGCGTCTGGACTGGTGGACTGAGTAATGCAGGCCCTCTCCAGTGTGCTTGGGCCTGTGTGCTTTGCTGAGGGCTTGAGTGGAACCACTGGGCAGAACGCGGTTCAGCTTGTCGTTGGCTCTCTCCGGCCTGCAGACTCTTGTATCTCAGGCCATTAGAACTGCGGTGTCACCTGCTGGCTCATGGGCTTCCACACTATGCCACTGCTCTCCTGGGACCTGCTTACAGACAGCACTGTGGGGTTCTCAGCCTCTGTAATAATGTGAGCCAATATCTGATGGTAAATCAATTTCTACATATAGATTCTGTTGCTCTGGGGGAAACCTAAGACAACATGAAGTTAGGGAATTAACTAATGAGAATGAATTTTTCTGATTGGTAAATCAGATAAGAATTCTAGATGAGGGCTGTGGAGAAGAGATTTTCAAATATATCTACAGTTTTTTCTCTTAACAAAACAACAGCAGCAGCAACAACACAAAACAGTCACTTACTTGTCTGTGATCTCCGCATAATTGCTGCCAATATAAAGTATTGACTAGAAAATCTCGTTATGTGACTTCTTAACCAAAGATGAAGCACTTTGGATAGTTATCAACCACGAGAATCCTTTCAAGTGTTGTTACTTGTCATAGCAACCAAGAGCTCCAGATATTCCATCCTGGAATGGATGTGGCACCCTGCTGGGATATACCGGGGTCCAAGTGGCTGCTGCTGCTCTCTGAAACCTGAACCTGTAAAAAAGCATAATGTGGTAGCTCTGGAAATAAGATCCACTCTCCCTCTAGGGTTTGTTTTTATACTTTTTGTTGTTCTAGATACTGGTTTTATTTTGTTAAGTATCAACTTTCCTGGACTAATTTTATAAAGTCTGTATCATTGTCATAGAGGGCTGCTGAAGTCTCTGTTCAGTTAGCTCAGTGGTCATAAGGACTGGACAGAGTATTCCTTAAGGGTTTTGGATCAGTAAGTCTTGTGGCCTTTGCCAGGGGCTGATTGTGTGTGTGTGTGTGTGTGTGTGTGTGTTGATGTCTTTGATACTGCTGGTTACAGGTGACGAGTTCTTCTCCCTCAAATGCTGAAGTTTGAACACTAGGGAAGCACACCAAGGCAAGCATATAAGGCAGGGTTTATTCAAAAAGGGACAACATAGACTTCTCCTGGGAGGGAGAAGGAGGCCATAGCTGATCTCCTGGTATTCCCAGAAGTGAGGGGTTCTGCCCTTTTATATCTCCTAGGCTGCCTTTGTCCTCCTGTCCTCTCCCCTTGTCTCTCTCCTTCAGGTGTCCGTGACTAGGCCCAGGGATGGTTGGTGAGATGGCCAGAAGGTGGGAACCAGGTGGGCTGAGGGGGAAGGGCAGGATGGAGCAGCCCAGGACACATGAACAACTTCATACTCCCTGTAGGGAGGGCCATTCCTGGACAGGTTACCTCAGCAACAGGTTGGAGCAGGGTGTGGTTCTGGATTGGTAAGGGGGGGGGGAGGAAGGGCTCTGAAGGAATTCACACTTCAGTCTCTCAGGGGCAGTCCAATTGGCCTCCTTGATCTGACCCCACTCCGTGTACCTCTGCACTGACGGCCTGTCTAATCCTGGCTCCATCTTCAGGCTTCCAGGAGCTCACAGTTCTGCCTTGACTCTTCCTTACTGAATGCAAAGAGCCCCAGGTCGGCTGTGAGTGAGCAGAGCCTCCTCTGGCCTTCCTCAGAGCTTCCTGCACATGACCAACCCACTTCCGGATTCCCAGGCATATGTCAGAGGTCTCAAAGCCCCTGTGGACATTTTATTCCTAAAATCTCCTTTTAAGCTTTTTTGGTCAGATGCTTGTTTGCCACCGTTGGAATTGTCATCGAAGACAACAGCACAGCTAAACGATGGCCACTGACTGTTTTTAACAAGTGCTCTGGGAACAGAGCTGTTGTGCTGAATGAGCTCAGTCAGACCAGGTATAGATGGATTCTGTGGCTGACGTTTTCCTGGGGAGATGCCAGACAGGGCAGACTGTGATAGCTTCCTGATTGTGAGGGAGGCCACGCCTTTCCCACCCTCTGGGGTGGTGAGGCTGCTGATGTCGTAGCTGTAGGGTTGTGAGGTTGGTAAGTCTACTGTGGAGTAAGAGAAGAGGATGGGAATGGGGTCAACTGAGTCACTGTAAACCCAGTATTTTTACTGAGATTCAGTCATTTTTCTTGAGTGAGCATACTTCAGGTTATTCTTATAGCTTAACATCCTGAGTTCTGAAAAGGTTGATTTTTGACAATTTGGCTTTTGTTCCCATTGTTTTTATAAACAATCAGATTTTCAGAGGTTCCTTCTTTTAACATTTCAAAAATGCTTCAATAGAAAGTTTTTCAATCAGAAAAAATTATTAGAACTATTTTCCATAGTAAGAGAATAGACAAGCTGATTTCTTCTTCCAATGGAACTCAACTATCAAAATAATAAAATGATATAAATATTTAAACTTAAGTAACTATTAAAAACAATTGTTGAGGACTAAATTGTAGAATAATGCCCACAGTAAAATATTTCTATAATTAAAATACATACAGAATGATATTTTTGATGGGTGCAGAAATATAGTTTTGATTTGAAGTAAATTATTTAAGAAATGGATTAGGAATTATTTCTTTTGTTTCAATTTTATTGATTTCAGCTCTGATTTTAATTATTTCTTGTCTTCTGCTGCTTTTGGTATTGATTTGTTCTTTTTCTAGGGCTCTGAGAAGTAATGTTAGGTCATTTATTTGTTGACTTTTTCTTCTTTTAAGGAATGAATACCATGCAATGAACTTTCCTCTTAGTACTGCTTTCATAGTGTCTCAGAGATTTCGATATATTGTATCAGTGTTCTCATTTCCCTCTAAGAATTTTTTAATCTCCTCTTTGATGTCTTTTGCAACCCTTTGTTCATTCAATAGCATATTATTTAGTCTCCAGGTGTTGGAGTAGCTTCTATTATTTATTTTCTCATTGATCTCTAATTTCATTCCATTATTACCCGAGAGAATGCAGGGTAGTATCTCTACTTCTGTGTATTTGCTAAGAGT